GCAGTGGTGCGAACACACCATACTGTAACGGCGAGCCACCCCGAAGCAGGCAATTGGTAAGAAGGCGCAGCTGTCGTCGATATAAACCCGTATCACGAGGCTCCACCCAACCATCTTAAGTTTGAGCAGGTTGTGCGATGCCCTGTTGTATCTGAACTTTCGTAGGTTCCAATGATCAGCTTTCAGGCCTTCGTTAGCAGTGCCCTGGAAGCATGCGAAATCGTGTAGCAGCGAGCTCCCGGTTTCCAGCCGTGGTAAGACCGCTTCGGGAGTTTAGATCTCCGAAGCTCGGAAGCTTTGTGTGGGATACTTAGCAGAGTTTAGGCTTAGCTTCGTCAGAAACCTGTCGTTCTTCCCGCCCTAAACCTGCAATGAGGTTTCGTCCTTGCTAGGTAGGGCTAAAAGCCACCCTAAACCCAAACCCTAAAAGCCCCTAAACACTAAACCTTTATCCCCAAACCCTACAGTGTACTATACCCTAAATCCCAAACCGTAAATGCCACCCTTCTCCCAAATCCAAGGGGACGTCCTTCCTGCAAAGCCTGGAAATCGTGGGCAGATAGCTGGCACAGACCAGGCCTCAGAGCAGAGGTGCTTGAAAGCAGACTTTATGATATTGTTCGAAGACAGTACTTTTTTTTGTTTTAAAAAATAGGTTTTTAAAACAACTATAGTCTGTAAGAAATTTAGTATATGGTATTCCATACTCATATACACAAGACCTTTACAAAACATAACATGCAGTATGTCATGTGTGCTGGCATCTAACAAGTCCATTGCTTCAGAAAGTATGTAATGTTTAAGCTCAAACATCAGTACACAATAATATACAACACATACAAGATATAATTTATCATAGTGAAAATGAGAAAATTTAGAAGCAACAGGCAGTATGGATATATGCGAATATAGGCTACCAGCTCTCGCATTTTGTATGGCAGTTTCCAGGCACCCTCCTGCTCCACTAATGCTGCAGGCCGAATATCAACAACATCCGGCCCGAAACCACTGTTGCATGCGCGCACGGCTTTCGCTGATGAGTTTCCCACTCTTTTCCATGCAGCCTCCATCACGTTCCCGGCTTGCCGCTCAGGAGACTAGCTGTCGCCCAGTGAATCTTTTGTACAGCTACCCTTGGCCGTCCAAGTTCTTCTGGCCTTGTGCGGACAGTTGTATCTTTCATACCTTCAAGCTCCAACGTTGGCCCCAGCTACTGATGCACATGCAAATACTGTTTGTTCAGATGAAAACTTACATTTGCTAGCTTATGGCCAAAGGCTAGAGATAAGTCAATGAGCAAAAAATCAAGCAAAGACTGGGAGAAGCTTGAGACACGGAACCCAAGGTTGACAATTCCAGACCGCCCAAGCGGGGGATGGTAGATGCTTACAGTATGCTGAGCCTTGAGATTCCTTGGCCCGTGCCAGTGCCTCATGTTCATTGCTTGCTCCACAGTCTTGTTTTAAACATGTAGCACAAAATGAAAACTTAAAGGACCTTACCATGAATAGCTTTCAGATGCTGAAGCATCCCCCTTCCCCTTTTGGGCTGGCCTTTGCTAATTCAGATGCATTGAGAGCCGACTTAGGCGATCGCCTTTCGAAGCCTTGCTGCGTTGCCGTGGGGTCTGAGTAGGCCGAAGCTGACGCGAGCTCAAGCAACGCAGCAGGCGTGAAACATGCACTTTGAGTCCGACGTCAGCAAGGACAAGCACAGCGAAACGTGTACAAGACATCACCAACATCCTATATCGGTATCCTTTTACCGAGGCCTCCTTCCTTCTTCCACTTTACCCCAAGCCCCCTGTCTGGACTCACGTCGTCGTCGTCCCTTCGAGGAGGATCGCCGTAAACACCTGGGATCACGAGGAAAGAGAGATTTGCAGTGGTGACGAAAGTTCCAATCACCCTCACCCACTGGTCATAGCGGCAAGCGTCACGAAGAAGGTCGGAAGCCGATTTAAGAGTTTGTCCGACGAAAGGGTCATTTAACGAGCTGATGCTGAACTGAGCGAGTCTATGTTACGGGGCACCGATTTCAAGCAATCTGATCATGGAACAAGTGCACGAAGCTGACTGGGCCTATCTTGCGTACAGCCTTTGGTAAGTAGTACGTACTATAGGGGCCTTAATAGTTACCTTTGGGGGGTTCGTACCATGGGCCCCAAAACCTTATTCTAATTATCAAGGCCCCGATATGAGCCTCGAGATTGACAGGTCTGGGTGCCCTCGGAAGTACGGACCAAAAGACTCATCCGCCTGCAGACTGGAATATACAGGAACTGCCGGGCCCTAGCCGTAAAGCCAGAACTTGCTTGTCCTTGTTTCCCTTTGACCTCTGGATGGTGCAAGCGCTGCTGATTGACCCACTAGGCTAGAGGCAGGTGGAGCTCAGGCTTGTGGTACGTTTGCGGCCCCTAGGGCTCCGCAACTTCAAGAGCGCTTGCACCATCTGCGGCCTACAAAAATCCTAGCCATTTCAGAGACCTCAAAGAGGCCACAAGACTTCTGCTGACTCGGTAGCTTTTGCGGCAAGGATCTGTGCAGTAGCCCAAGTTAAACTTGAAGGCAGCAGTAGAATCAGTGTCAAAACGAGCTGATTCGCTACGTAATCGTTTGCATCAACATCCCACCCAACAGTTTCATCTGCTCATGTCATCGAGTGGTGCCTCAGAGAGCGTCCTCTAATTACTGTGCAAAGCCCTGGTTGGGTGACCCGCCCGGAGGATGCTTAAGATCAGCGGCACAGCAATTCGGCAAAGGCTGGACGAGATCCATCACGATTGGACAAGACGTTGGACGCTAGCCAGGACTTCCTGCTGCATCATTGAGCCTCGTTTCCTCGTTGCTATAAGGGAGTTTCCGAAAATAGGGGATCCTAATATGATACCCTCAATAGTAGGATCCTTGTTCTAAGGACCCCAAAACAAGGTACCCTTAATGTTCGGAAACTCCCATAAGTCTGGAGAAGTGCAGGAAGCCCTGACATTGCTGGACAGCTCTGGAACCCAAGCATCCTCCCCTGCACAAGTTGGGCATGGCTTGCGATCCGGAGACTTACAGCATGGTAGCGGCAGGCAAAAGGGAGGAAGGAAGCACGTCGAAGATCATCAGCCGTACACAGCAGTCGCAGCTTGCACTTCCTTCCTTCTTGGACCCTGCCACCTCAAAGACAGGAAGAGATGCTGTTTGCAGTTTGCGCCCTAGCTTGACTCCGATGTACAAGTGTAGTGAGTAGATCTTCGGCCCAGGCATAGGCTGACATCCCAAGGGCCTGATGTGCATAAACCATCATACACCCTAAACCCACATCATATACCCAAAAGGTAACACCGTGAAACTGTCAAAGCTTGTCAAGTCATCGCGCGTGCTGCGGGCCGGTGTCCGCTGAAGCGGAGATGGAGAGAATGCATCCAGCATCGGCCCGCATAACTGTTTTGAAACGCTGGCATAGATGTCATGTCTAAGAGGCCGCCATCGGGGCTATGTGAGCATGCCAGACTTTCGAAACTCAGAAAGATATTTCTCTAGTGCAAGGCAGCAACCCTGCTGGAGTTCGGGAGTTCTGGCTGCTCCCTTCCCGCATGACAAAGCCTAGGAGCTTGCACTGCATGCCTGCATTTCTACCCATATAGGCTCCATAGTAGTTCCTTTGTGGGGTTACCTTGTAGGGTTCTATAGATGAACCACAAGAAGGAACTACTATGGAGACTCTAGGTATAGGTCAAAGCGCAACAGGCCAGTCGTTTGAGTATTCGTGGCTCATGCAATTCTGTAACTTAACTTGCCCTCCTACGTTAGTAATTACCGTCATTGAGATGCCGAGAGTGTTACGAGCACGTTTGTCCCAGGTGCTTTTTCGCTGCTGGCTCCTAGTATGGGATGCCAGCCTCCCCGAAGTCTTTCGTATAGGTGCCTTGTGCAGGGGCACAAACAAGTGGCATGCGCATTATCTGAATCGGATAAATGGTGCCTCGTTTGTTCTGCCCCTCTTCAGTGGTCGTTTGTGCAGCTTGTGATCTTAGGATGAAGGCTGCGGTGCTACGGTACCACAATATATGTGGGTCCATATCGCTATAAGTCATAGACTCCAGCGCAGCAATGCCAGTTGCGCTTGTTTCTTATAGCAACCTAGTATAAGAACAATTCCGATACAGTGCGATACCATATGCCACAACATAATACTGGTATTACATGCTACGTTTTGGTGGAAGGGAGAACCATCAGGAAGTCCTCCGCACTGCTTGTGGTTCTACGACCTGGAGAACCCCTAAAAAAGTTAAGAGGAATAACGAGGCCGGCCGTCCGTGATTGTGGTTTAGGATTTGGAACTTACGGTTTCGGGGTTTAGGGTCTATAGGGCTTCCCAAAGCAAGGCCTCAACCCTAAACCTTAAACCCTGAACCCTAAACCCTTCGCCCTCTGCTGATCGGCTGCAGCTTCTGTAAAGAGCCCGGGCCTTTGCAGCCCTGGGCAAGAGCCGCGAGACATGGGCCGCTCGCTTGAGTTTAATATCGGGGCCTTAATAATTACCTATACTATTTTTGGGGCTCCTTTGTATGAAAATAAGTATAATGGGCCCAAAACCCTATTCTGATCATGAAGGCCCCTATATTAGGGTTTAAGGTTTGGGTGGTTTAGGGTTTATGGGCATCCCCTGCAGCCCCTCCTCAACAAGTTTAGGGTTTATGCAAAAGCGTTTTAGGGTGGGCAACACTCGAGGTGAATTGAAATAGGGGCCCTGCAACTAGCCATACTGTTATTTATTTCACTATGATGTACCCCCCCCAGCCTGATAGTAATTAGTAGGAGGCATAAAGCTCGTCAGCGAGTCTCGACTTTCCTTATGTGATTTACTCGTCCTGGCGACCATGCTATGCCTATGTGTGGAACCGAAAAGCTGCTGTGGTTGTAACTCCTACCTACCAGAAGCAACCGCTTCGTCCCTCATTAGAATGGATGCACTCAGGCAGGGACGATTGTGACAATGGCTTTGGTCGCGATGATGGTAACAGTTGCCATGAGGATCGTAATCCGTGTCACATAGCGATGGGTATACATGGGGTTCATAAGTTATCATCATGGCGATGTCGATGGTGATGTTGTTGCTGAAGCCGTTTCTGCCGTTTCCGCCAACCGTGTTGAAAAGATTCTTGCAACAATCGGAGTTGGTACCAAGGCTATGTGCATTGGTGCAGTTCAGAAGGTTCTCGATTGCTGGTCAACACACTGTGAACCTGGAAGCCCAAGCCTCGAGCACCGCAAACTCAGAGTTTCAACAAAGTTGAAACTGCAGATGTTGCCTATCTCGGACCGTCCTACACCAAGAGAAAGCGCCTAGAAACTGAAACTCTCTCTGAACCTTATACGGCAAGAAGAACTTTACAATAGATCGTAGATGGAGTCTGATGAGGCGCATGTGGCGGGAAGAACCCAGCGGCGCGAAGCCACAGCAATTCGGCGATGTTTAGGGTTGTAAGCTTTACGTTTTTTTTTTTTTTTGGGGGGGGGGGTGGGTTGGGGTCCGGTTAGGGTTGAAGGGCTTGTAGGGTCTCAGGGCTTGTAGCTTTTTAAATCATCTGCTTCCCATTACAGGAGGTTACCGAGTTCCTTCACCTTGATGGTCCCTGCCTAGGCTTGGTTCCCTCCGACGACAAGGCCCAGGCACGTGGCCATCCGCGGGTGGTTACACTTTGGGGGTATGCAGTGTTTGGGCAAACATCTTAGCACTCGCTTCCCTTCTGAATGGTGTGCATCGTGATGCTACGCGCTGTAGCCAGGGGGCCAGTGCGCAGCCCGACCATCGTTGGGTAAAGACGCCTCATGTTTTCCTTTTACATGCACCGACTGTATGGATTGACTTCATGCTTGCAGCGGAAGGGACAGAGAATACTCCGACACAGTTGCCTTGTCGGCACGGCGCAGGCCAATGGCGGCTACCCTGGCGATGCTTGGCAGGATTCCGATTAACCAAAAAACTGGCAGGGAACGGCAGGCAGCAGAACTAGGGGAGTAGAAGTGATCAGTCTGAGCTCCCAGGACACGTTGGCAATCTCCAACTTATAACTTTCTAATCTCGCATGCACAGATGTGAATCGTGACCTTGATGTCGTCGGTTATGCAGACAGATGCCAAGGGCAGCGGCACCGCTTCCACCAATTCGAGAATGAAGGACTGCAGATCTACATGTTGGTGTGCCTTTTCAGTTTCAGCTATAGGCTACGGCTAAGATCCTTAAAATACAGACAGATTAAGGCGGCCATTGGCAGTTAGGAGACTGTTCTGCCACCCGCGCTCGTGCATCATACATGAACCCCGATTCCCTCACGGCTGGTGTGATAACTCTTCTTTCCGTTGCCCTGCGTTGGTCTGCAACTTCCTCTATCCTGATCATAGCCATTCTGACCTGCAACGTTCATGTTGGCATTTGTTTCAGCTGCCGCAGCCTGCAACTGTTGCGCGCGACCCCTTGTCTTGGACATTTTCGCAGTCGTAGACCTGGGCTTAGTCGTGCAGTGTACGTTGCACCCGTAGCCGTACTAATGGTAACAGCCGTTGCTGTCGTAGAGCACTTGCAGTAGCTGTAGCAGCAGTCGTGGACGCGTTAGTGCTTGAAATGCTAAGCATGATGGTTGCATGATGGACATGTTGACCAGCGAGTTGAGTATCGCCACACATCAGCCTCAAGCGCAGGCAGACGGCATCAACCGCCGGCAGTTCATTCTCAGCAATCCTGGCCAGATCAAAGAGTTCTACAAGTATCTAGACTGGGTTGAGTCTTACGAACTCCGTTGAAGAGGTTCGGCCCCTATCAGATTCAAGTGTTTCTGCGCATGGTGGTGCGGGGATCGCATACGTTGCTGGCACCAGCTGTTTGGAGTTAACATAAAATCTGGACTTGCGCGTGATTCTTCCTTTGCCACGAAGTGGAAAAGCCATACAAACATCGCAACCTCTCGTGACGAATCTAATAAACTGCAAATAAGAGTTTCAATCGTTGCGAGATGGCGCATTATCCCGTTTCCAAATGACAGAGTGTCATACAGCTTCAGCTTATCACAGTAGTCTCCCTTAGGCTGGACTCGAAGAAGATCGGCGAGGGCACTTATGGCTCCGTGGCCATCGGCGTGCATCAGCAGACCAATGTGGAGCGCGCGGTCAAAACCATGTCAAAGGGTTCCTTGGATACGGATGGGGTTCAGCCTAGAGTACAGAACTCAGAGCCTTGCTTGAAGAAATGCCCAAGATAAGCGTCGATTGCGCATGTCGCGCATGTAGTTGCTGTTGCATTCTACCTCTTCTCTATCTGTGCTTGTACTGCTGTGTTTTCTCCTACACCTTCTCGGACCACTACGACTACTAGCGCTAGTAGTTGTAGTTACATAGCAGCAGTGACAGCACCAGTGACTCCAGAGGCTTGGCTTCAGGATGTTGGGTCAACGGTCGAACTCTTTAGGCCTTGGCTTTGGCAGTATTCCTTCCAGCATTCTATTCCTTTTCTTTGATGGTGATCCAGCAAGGTGATCCTTATGAACCAACAACAAACTGCTACAGTCGCAGGGGAGTTCCCCCGGCTTCACAGGTCGGTGCGTTTTTGTCCAACCTGTGGCCCCAGGCAACATCAAGCATGTGGAGCGCTTCATGCAGGTGCCGGTCGATGGCTGGGGTCGCCGGGTCTAATATATTGGGTCTCAATATTCACCCACACTACTTTGGGGGTCCTTATTCTAATTACCGTATAGTCGGCCCCCAAACCCTACTCTAATTATTCAGGCCCCTAGTTCCGGGTCCCATCTTGGCCTTGGAAGTTTTGAGTTGGGGTGGCGCGTCGGTAGTTCGGGGCTGGAGCTTGCAGGAGTCCAGGCTAAAGCTGAGCAGGCAGAGTGTTCAGAGGGTTGGTTTAGGGTTTAGGGTACTGTGGCTGCTGGGCAGCCTGCGGGGCATGTAGGCTCAGAATTGTCACTCTCGCTTTAGGTCAGCGGCCCGGACATATTCCAAGCTTCACGCTCAAGGGCATCACGAGAGCGATAAGCTGTTAGCTTGAGAACCAGTCACTAGGGCAGCGAGGGATAGTGAGGAGTGGGATCAGGGCTGCTCGGTGCTTTCGCGATTTGCAGATTGCCCGCGACGAGTTCCCACAATGCTCTCGTAGTCTTCAAGTTTTTGTGTAAATGCTATGTGTATGTGTTTATATATGCATGCACATACATGTGCATGGTCTATGTGTATACACTTGTACCTGATTTACGTTCATTAACCCAGTGCCCTGACCTGCCGAGTGCGGGCGTCGGAGAGGGTTGGAAAAAAGCCATTCGTTCGCGCATGCATGCATGCATGCATTCATTCATTCATGTTCTATCTGTGCACACAGAGGTACAGACAGAAAGGAATATAGATGGATGGCTCGAGAGCGAGCGAGCGAGAGGGAGAGCGAGAGAGAGTGAGAGAGTGAAACCATCGTCTAAGAGCCGGCGGGAGGGCCGCAGTGCCCGGGGGAAGCCTGGGAGAAGAAGAGAGAAGGGGGGGGGGGGCGGGAGGGAGGGAGGGAGGGAGGGAACTGCTGCCCAAGTTAAAAAGCTGAGACGGAGTGCCACTGAGCCGATACCCGAGTGAATGAAGAACACGCAGGAAATTAACATCATGAAGTCCATGGACCACCCCAACATCATCAAGCTCTTCGAGACCTTTGAGGCCCTTTGTCCGAATGGTTGCAAGATGTTGCAGGCTGTAGTCCAGACTCCGACCTCCGGATTTCAGGCCTTGTGGTGTTGGCTCGGGGTTGCGGCTCAAAAGCCAGGACCGGAAGCAGATCTTCCTGGTCATGGAGCTTTGTCAAGGAGGCACGCGTGCGTGCAATGGTTTGGGTACGACCGGGTAAGTTTGGCTTCCACGGAGTTGCTTAATTAACTACATTCACTAGCCAGTAAAGCCTGCCGTGTCCGGGCTCCACAGGCCACTATCAAACCTCACGCTGTCTACACACTCAACATTGCGACTTCCAAATCCTTCGCCTGAAACCAAAGCTTTTTGTCCGCGGTTTGCAGACCGGACCTTATAGTCTTCGACTTGTTCCACCAAAGTCCCAATGCAGGATAAAATTACAGGGAGGAATACGTAGCAGTCAGTATTGTCATTGGCTGTCCGATCCGTGTGCATCGCTTGAAACGCATGTGATGCCAGGCGAGCTTTTCGACCGCATCATTGAGGCAGGACATTTCACGGAGAAGGCGCGCCCGTAGGTCTTGCGGCCCATCGGTTATCGTCAGGATACGACTGAGGTTCGATGAATAAAGTAAAGGGTAATAACAGCAGTAGTAGTAGTAGTAGTAGTAGTAGTAGCAGTAGCAGTAGGAGTAGGAGTAGCAGTAGCAGTAGCAGTAACAGGAGGAGGAGGAGGCGGAGGAGGAGGAGGAGGAGTAGGAGTCGCGTAGAAGCAGCAGCAGTGTTAGCAGCAGTATCAGTGTTAGCAGCAGCAGCAGCAGTTGCGGAAGTAGCATTTGGTATTGCTGTTATGGTTGCAGTTGAGAGAGCAGCAGTTTTGGTGGTCTTCACTGTGCTGATATTCCGGATGTGGTGGTAGCATTTGCTGTGGTTGTGCCCTGGGCTGGGAATCCTTTGCAATGGACTTCCTTCTTGAGGGGCGGGGTGTCGACAGGATTGCGCCATCGTGGTTCAACAGATGCTTTCTGCAGTGTTGCTCCTTGGCCACAATCCAACTCACCGTGCGAGCTTCTCGTGGAATGCCGATTGGTCATGTTGTGCTGAAATCAGGGCGATGATACTATGAAGACGATCCACCAGCACCTCCACCTCCACTACCACTGCCCCGAACGAAGAACAGCACCACCACCACCACCACCAAACCACTCGTGTCGCTCAAGGCGGATGACATATTGAATCCTGCTTAAGCCAGCCGTGCAGATGTCAACAATCGTTTTGCCCAAAGGTTGTTTGTTCGAGAGTACTGTCGAAGGACTGGCGAATTTTTCAGACTGTCGCAGACCTTCAAACACCTTGGCCGGTGCCGAGGTATATGCACACAAGCGGTGTCTGCCACCGTGACCTCAAGCCCGAGAATTTCCTCTTCCTGACGAAAGGCTTGCGGGCAGGTGTCGATATGTGTCTTTGAGTGCCTGCTGCCTTTCATCATACGTCTGCTGGAGCATACAGCTGTGATGGTTGGATACTCGCAGCAACTTCGATCACAATTTCGCGAACTGTATGGGCTCATCGAGATCGAAGCGATGACGATGCGGATGTTGTTGATCATGCTTGCTCCACCTTCCGCTTCACCCGAACCATCGGCATGAGGTCACCGTCATCTCTATGGACCCAGCACCTTTGCCCAGCTTGTCAAACCCGGGCATGTCAAGATTGCTGCTCTTAGTGCCAGAAAAGATCCCCCACCCCCGGTCGACAACTATTCTGGCAGGCCCAATCGACAAGAACGTCCTGAAGATCATCGATTTCGGCCTCTCCAAAGCTTTTGAAGACGGTGTTCACATGACCACAAAGGCTCTGGGACTCTGGGTCTGTATGCGATCTGGATGCTTGCTTGCTCTGACGAGGGTTACTTGATAGTTGCAGTTGGAAGCATCCCAAGATCCGTGGTCCCATGCGAAGAGGATTGAGTGAAGCTGTGCTTCGACACTCACTACCTCCGGGAGCAAGGGGTCATAGTTCAGGCCGTCACTGTGGGCTGTCCAACCGTAAGCATCATGCTCAGGCGCCCGGCAAAATCTCCGACCTTCGATCAGTCGTTTTCAATGCTACTGGTATGGTAAATGGTGAACTGCTATACTTCATTCTAGTTCTTAGGGCCCCGATGTTACTCTTCGGCAATGCCCAGCTAGCCCGAAAAGTGGAAGCTGTGCAGGCCGGCACGCCGTACTATGTGGCGCCACAGGTTCTCCAGGGCAGGTGCGCTCGGAGCGGGGCCTGGGGCGATGACTGACGGGTTGTTTCCGGGTAAGGGTAGGCCTGTTTTGGGATGCTGAGGGGAAGATATAAGCACGATTGACAGGTTACATGCTGGGGACAGGCTGTCTGGGAAGACGTGCTGCCAAGACTTTCACAAGATGCGCAAGCCTGAAGTCAGGTACGACAAGTCCTGTGACATTTGGAGCTGTGGAGTTATCATGTACACGATGCAGCTTGCCGTGCACTGGTTTTGGTCTGCGCATGTTGTACATCTATGGTAGCCCGGAGCACGTATCAGGAGTACGTACAAGTGCATTCACAGGGCCTTGCCTTCTGCGAGTTGTGTTTAGTAGCCAATGCAATCAGTAGTTGTCAAAAATACGAGATGCAGTTTCGGTTTTGCCAGATGGTTTACGTCCCAATCGTCTGTGCTGACCTCCCGCGCCGGCTCTGTACGTCATGCATTACAACCCTTTCTACAGGCTTGATTATGTTCGGTTGTGTTGCGTCATAGCACCGCAGATGCCCACCACCTCAGAATCCAAGGCTGTGCGGATATCCGCCCTTCTACGGAAAGACGGACCAGGAGGTGCAATGGGCATGGGGTTCCTTGAAGCCTTCAGTGCGAGTCCCCCGACCAACTGAGAAGTGATACAGTCGGGAAAGGTACTCCCCGTTCGCCCCGGTAAGGATTACCACCTAACACTGCGGCAGAGGACTACTACTACTACTACTACTACTACTACTACTACTGCTGCTACTACTACTACTACTACTACTACTACTCCTACTCCTACTGCTACTGCTACTGCTACTGCTACTGCTACTGCTACTGCTGCTAGAAATGCATTCCTCAACCCGGCACTCCCAGAGCCTCCGTGCTGACGGGCCGTGGCAGGTCTTGAGTAAAGTGAGAAAAGGCCTGTACACTTTTGACTCGAAAGACTGGAAGTTCGTGTCGGAGGACTGGGGGAAGTCTTTGTGTGTGGTGTGAAGGTGGCTGCTGCATGAATGACTTAACTACGGTCCACGCATTCGTACCGAACACGGCCTTAAATCGTTGAGCCCGAACCCCAGGACGCGAAGAAGCTTATCTCTCAGTTGATCAAGCTGGATCCGGAGCACAGATACACGTCCAAGCAGGCGCAGAGTAAAGATCAGCTGGTCGGTTACATGGTGACCTTTGGTTTCTGAAGTCTCCTTTAGGGTAAAAGGAGGGACCCTTAATAAGGACCCCTAGGTATATACCCTTAGTATAGCCATTATATACCCATTATACAGCCCATTGTATGGTAGGGTTCCCCATTGAGGGTCCCTCCCAGCCTCTGAGCCGAAACCGGGACAGGCGCTTGACGACCCCTGGATCGTGCAAAGAGCGCCGCGAGCAGCGGACGTGTCGCTCCACGGTGCTCTGGGCGGCATGTAGTGTTTGCTGGAGTTTTTGCAACCCCTTGGACTTACTGCCTCCTCAGGGTTCTTCAGGCCTAGCATCTCGACGTTCCTTCAGCAGGGTTGTGTGCACAGTTTCGTTTTCAGTTTGGTAAATGTGTGGGCTTCCTCGCGTATCCTAAGGTAGCTGTTGTTGGAGGTGCGTGTGTGCACGGGCGGCATGGCCAACTTGTCTGAGAGCTTCATCTGTCCGTGGGGCAGGTTCCTTTCCAAGTCCTTACCCTGCTTCTTCGCACGTGTGGAGGCATTATCACATAAATACAAGCATGCAGGCCTAGCTTGAAAGTCAAGCCGCTCAGCCAACTAACGCCACGGGGACATGAAGTTGTTCGGGAGCTTCGAGCTCGAAAACAGAAGACTTGGAGAACATTGAAATTCAGTTGCCTATAAATCATGACAAACTTGCCTACACAATATGTGGTGAATCTGTGTGTCGTTCTAGTTGGCATCGTGGCTCGCTCTTGCTTTGTCTCTCTCTCTCTCTCTCTCTCTCTGTCTCTCTTTGTTGCCACTGTCTGGTTCGCCTATACATGTGAGACAGCTGCTCTACTTCATTGCTGAAAGATTTATTACGTCATGTTGAACTTGTCCACTTGCTTGTTCATACAGGCACATCAGACATCTTATGTGCGTCCGTCCAAGGCAGGAGCCTGTACGTACACAGAGGTATTGCCTCCAGCCATAGAGTCTAAGCGTGCTCGCAGCACTTCATCGAGATAAAGAAAGAAGTGACTGTGGATTTGCCTCAAGACTGCTGAGGCGACCAGCTGTTGAACCTCCGCTCCTTCAGGCAAGGTCATTGCAGTGATGGTTGTTCTTCGCATTGCAAGATCTAGCTTTGTTTATTGCTGTTGATTCTTGCTGCTGACGCTCCTCCTCCTCCTCCTCCTCCTACTCCTCCTCCTCCTCCCTCCTCCTCCTCCTCCTCCTCCTCCTCCTTCCGCATCCTCTTACGACCCGTTGCGACATACTGCCGCAACATCACAACGATGTCGACTAGTACTGGTTAGTTCTCGCACTTATTCAACCTATGCGCTGTCCTTTGTTGGATGAGATGGTTGCGGAAGGCATTTTGAGCTTCTGAGCCCCTGCTCCTGGCGAAAACTTTGTGGCTGAGAATCCAGACCCGTTGCGAAACACCGGCTTTCGTGCTATATGGGAGTTTCCGAAAATAGGGGGTACCTTATGTGGGGGTCCTTATAATAAGGATCCTACTATTTGGGGTGCTATATCAGGGTCCCCTATTTTCGGAAACTCCCATATTCTAAATCCCAAAGAGCATCGGAGACCTTCTCGTGTACTGAAACCGTGTCCACGGCAAAAGCAGGAAACCCACGGTGTTCTCCCAAGCTTACCGAAGCATCGCTTACACCCAAACACCTACATGGCAGGTCACAGAACCGACTCAAGAAGGCTGCCCTGAATATTATCGCAGGCCTGTGTGCGTTTGTTGGAAGTTCTCTATGGTTGTGTTCTCAGTTAAGGTGGTTTATGTAAAGGGGGTCTGGAGTCAGAATTCTGAAGTGAAAGGTCGTGAAACCAGGGATGTTTGTCCGCGGACTGTTCGACGTCTCGAACCAGGCCTTTTATCGTGTATGCGCCGTGTCCGGAGCCATACCTCCATCCGCACGCCCACGAAGTGGCCCTTCTCATACATACATACATACATATTCATATTCATATAATATGCATCATACATGAGATAGTTGTGGTTCTGAGGCTGTATATACAAACGAGCTTCCACTTGTCACAAGTTGTTGGGTTCGGTACATTTCTTCGTCAGCCATGACGTTGTAGGTAGTGTTCTTGTGTCGGGGTGGTCTCTTGATTTTTCTGCATGCAGGATCTTGATTCGGGATTTGGCACGAGACCGTAGAGGGTTGAAGAGTGCCAGAGCTTCTGCCGAATGAAGCCGACTGTAAACTATAAAGATCGACGTCAAAATTGAGCCGACTGCTGCAAGGGACAGAGGACTAAGATCTAAAGGTCTGAAGGCTTTGGTAGGAAGTACACCCACACTCCTACATGATCACCGTATTTCCGAAGTTCGATCCAGGGTAGCAGCACCACATCACCCCTTGCGTTTTATGCCATAATGGACCATAGTGATACACTGTAAATAACATATAGCTATAGCATGTTATACTTCACCTGTAGTTTGCAATATCAGCGTAACCTGCCATAAATAGACTGTTTCATTGAAGAAAGATCTCAGTGGTTTGAGTTTGTCGTCGTTGTACCAACCTGCCGGCAGGGCTGCTGCCCTTCGTGACTCCTTGTTCTGACAATCCTGTAGTTGGTAGGTTTGGGGTTTAGGGTTTAGGTTTGGGGCTGCGGGTCTAGAGGCCTCGTTCAATTTGGCGTGGGCTTGGTGGTGTTTGACAGGATCCTCCTTTACTAAGTATTTCAGGAAGGACCTGTCTTCTCTGTACCAGCGGGCCTACTCCTGAACCCGGCATCCCAAGCTTTCGGGCAGGGCAGATGAACGAAGCGCAGATTGCGGACTTGAGGCGGTTGGGGGTTCCCCGGGGGCTAGTTCTTCTGGAGACCTGTTTCTTTCAGGGATGTGGTCGGTTTTTCCCTTGGGCTGTCGTGTTCGCTCTATATTCGGGCTCCCCGAAATTGCAGCATCTCTTTGTCGTTATCTTCAGCTCCAACTCGGAGTATTTCGTCGGAGGTACCTAATCTTCAGAGCCAACATGATACCAGTAGCCCACAGACGTCGACCCTCAACGCGAAGCGCTGCAGGGCAATTGACGAAGAGTTCTAGCTCCCACCCCCCACGAAGTGGCGGAGCAAAACCCTCCACCACTGAGGGATGTCTTCAAAGCCTTGGACAAGAATGGCGATGGCTTCCTGACGCTGGAGGAGCCTAATATGGGCACCCGAAGAATTTAGTCACCTATTGATGGCTACAGTATTGGCTATAGTATATTATACCCCGAAACCCTATTCTAGTTATAAGGCCCCTAAGCCATTGTTGACGGGTGCCCTGCAGACTTGCATCTCGATCCCGTCATCCCGAGTTTCTGGTCCTCGAGCTGCCGCAATGCCCGAGGAGCTCCAGGACGGCATCACCAAAGCAGACATCAAGCACAAGGACCTTCTAATTAATTGGATCCTTCTTAGCTATCTGAAAGGGATGTGCAGCAGTACTGGTAGCACGTGCTAGCACAAGTACTGGTGCTAGTACGAGTGCTAGTACTGCAACACGAGTACTTGTTCTGGTACGATAGTACTAATACTAGTTTGCAGTATTCAAGTATGTAGAATGTAGTAGATCGTACGCAGCATGCAAAACGTAGCGTGTAGCCGGCTGGTGATAGCAGCACGAGCAGTTGTCGGTCTGCTTGAGTTTCCTTGACATCTCCTCGTTTTCCCATGCCTAGAGAAGTTACGACTTCGTTGCTGCCGTTGCTTTTGGAATGCTACACAACATTTCCAGCTCTTTATCCGCCACTGACTGCAGCACAGAATCCCGCGAGGACATCGACCTCGCTGCAATCATGGAAGGCACGGGCCGAGAGTCGAACTCAATCCGGGACCCTGGGATCTTCATACATTTCTCCAGGATCCTGCTGAATTGCATGCCTCATTCAGAGCTTGGGGGGGGGGGGGGGTTCTTGGCTTCAGTGCAACAACAGGCGTGGATGCTGACGGCAGTGGGCAGATTGACTACACTGCAGCTCGGCTTGAACCCTTTCTGCTTGAACTACCGACAGCTTTGCGTTTAAAGGTGATATAAACAAGCATTTTCAGCCAGGATCGTTTAAGGGCCAAAATAATTACCAATACTATTTTGGTGTTCCTTGTTATGATTATAGTATAATGCGCAGCAAAGCTCTATTCTAATTATTCAGGTCCCTATATTATAGTACCCTTATAGAGCCCTTTAAAGGGAACCCTATTCTAGCTTTAAAGCCCCCGAGCATTAGACCACGAAGTGGCTGAGGAGTTCTTGGCCGCGACGCTGGACAAGAGACTGTATCTCCAGCGGGATGCCTGCTGGGCAGCCTTTAGTGCCTCCTGGCTGCTACATTACACCGGGCTCTTTGCTGGAATCCGGCTTGAATGCCTAATTTTAGGAACATGATTAAGACACAATGGGTCTTTATTATAGGGCTCCTTTTATGAATCCTACTATTTTTACGTTATCGACCAGGGTTTCTTAATCAGGTTCCCATATTAGGTGCCAAGCGGTTCTCAACACCAGTGGTCCAACATCGCGTGCATGTTCAACTGCGGTCCAATCCATCCCGAGAGATTTCGACAGCCTTGCGAATTGACTAGCTCCTATAAGGGAGTATGGTCGCATCTATCGTGCATCTGCAGTTTTGCAGCTACGGCTTTGAGGGAGGGCACAGGCTGAAGAGACGAGCCTTGCAGTCTCCTTGCAGGGAATCCTCGACCTCCCAGTCACTCTGTCTCTGCTACCTGTTTATCGTTTATCCGCATATAAGCTATCGAAGCCTGTTCTGCCCAGCTTCCAAATCCACTATCTTAATTTTGCCACTGTGCGAAGCAAGAACAACCCCAAGCCCAAGCGCTTCAGGTGTTTGACCAGGATGGCAATGGCCTCATCACAGTCGATGAGCTCAAGCAAATTTTGGAGGATGGCAGCATGGAGGAAGTGCTGCTTGTACAGAAATACAGGGGGATCGAGCTCCTTTGGTTTGGGCCCAGGCCAAGGGCTCCGAGTTAGGTCAATTTGGTTTGGGGTTTAGGGTTCAGGGGCCGCTGACCAACGAAACCTGTTGCCAAAAGGGTTCTGGTTTATGGAGATTTGAGCGGGGCGTGCGGTGGAAGAGGATCGGCTTGGGTTTTTAGATGAACGCAGGGGCACGGTGCGAACGCGGTGGAAGTCAGAGCAAAGTATCCACACTACATTCACTACATCTCTTACACGAGGAACACGAGTCTGCACACAAGACAAACACAGCACTCGACACTTCGTGGTGGGGCATTGGGAGGGCGCTCAGCGAGTGCCCGCTCCACAACGCCGAAACACATGGCATTTCCCTCTCATTCGCCGAAATTGATACAACTCTGACTGAGGACCTGGACAGCCAATCAATCTCCTCTGTAGACGCTGTGCTTGGCAATTCTGAGAAGAAGAAGCTCGCAAGCGGCAGCAGAGCCAAGATATCCTAAGCCCTGCTCCTCCCCGGATCTATGCTTCAAAGATAAGATGAAGGCCCTGCAAGACCGGAGCCACAAAGGCACCCTGAACCCTGACCCGACCCGCCTAGCTGACAAAGTCGCTGCGTTGCGACGTTTTCAGCTGGGCCGGAGGAAAATGCGAAAGAGGAAAACAGCAAAGTTAAAACAAACAAACCTAAGCATACGCGTATGTATAGACTCACCTGATGTAGGCTTCCCCTGTTGCCAAGGCTTGATGGCCGAACCTCCGAGGCCCATCCAGGGATTCTTGGAGCCCAGTGGAGGTGAAAAAGTGGGGACTTTTTTGGTTCTGCAGAGCTTTCGAGCAGCCATGAGCTCAGAGTTGCAGCCTCCCAAGAGGTGATTTGAGGTTTGAGGCAGGCGCCGCTATAGCTTGTGGTTTGGGTTTGGGAGTTGGCATCTTCGTGGGAATTTCGAGTAGGGCGCAGGATCGGAGCTCCCTTTGGCCTCGAGGAGTTTAGAGCTAGTTCCTGGCTTCCCCAATAGACGAAAGGCTGAGCAGCTGGGAGCCGAAAGACCCGAGGACCCTAGGACGTAGGATGCAGGTATCCGCCAAGCCTAGGCTAACACTGGCAATGCGAGCAGGAGCGACCCTTGATCGCCCGAACTAATGTCGAGGGCTCCGGGCTTTCCTGCTAAAGAATGGCAAGAGACAGAATGCTGCCGTTGGGTTGCCTGGCTAAGCAGCGGGTCTGATTCAGCAGACATGTTAATCGGAGAGGAGCTGCTGCAAGAAATCGATAAGAATGGCGATGGATCGATCGATTTTGAGGAGTTCATGGACATGATGGAGTGGCCTGTCTGCAAACTCATCGAAGTCCAGGATGTAAACCTTGTAGGGGAGCATCGTCTACCGGAGCGACCCATGTCTCGTGTAATCGATGTGATGCATGGCTTAAATCGAGAATAGCGCCGCTGCTTTTGACGGGAGCTCGTTCCTGTTGACAGATCGCTACATGCCGTCAAAGGAAAGGCCGCTCGCAATCCATGGAGCTGAACACCCCGAAGGCCTGGAGATCTGCGTGCCACATACTCTACTCATCAGTCGCCTTCGGCCTGAGCACAGTTACCGCATGATGCTCTCCGCTGTGAGACCAGCGGTTACGGAAGAGTATACTGCACCTGGCCTTCATAGATGCTGCTCGTCTTTGTTGCGGCCCTGCAAATCTTGTCTCCAGTTGTTTAAACCATATTTACCCAGCTGGTCGCTCATACCGTAGTATCATAGGTATGTCTAAGTAAGGCATAGAATGCCACATGGCCCGATGCAGCTCAGATCGCTAGAGTAGACATCCTCTTAAGACCAATGCAAGAGGCATCCCAAACACCGCGAACTCCGCTTCGGTCGAGGTCGAGGACACCGATATGCTTTGGGTACGTTTTAGAGGTAGTAGTAGCAATAGTAGCAGGAGGAGGAGTAGTGGTAGTGGTAGTGGTAGTAGTAATAGTAGTAGTAGTAGTAGTAGTAGTAGTAGTAGTAGTAGTAGAAGTAGTAGTAGAAGCAGTAGCAGCAGTAGTAGTAGTAGTCGTCGTCGTAGTCGTAGTAGTCGTAGTCGTAGTAGTCGTAGTAGTAGTAGTAGTAGTAGTAGTAGTAGTAGTAGTAGTAGTAGTAGTAGTAGTAGTAGATTAGGGTTTTGCCGATCTTGAGTGCATTGGCTGGCGCCCCTTCTGGTTCGTTTCTGAAGAACTGAAGGATGTACATGCATTCTGTGTTGAACAGATTAGTTTCTAGTGCTCCGGTGCCGTTATATGGGGATCACGACATCGGTGTAGATTACCCCATGAAATGAATGAGACCCTTTTCGAGTTTCGACTTGGGCGATCTTGGGGTCTAGAGTTATGCTTTACGCCTCCCCACAAAGCCTAAACCGTCACAGGCGTTTGCCCTCGGCTCTAGGTTTCTCCATCAGCATACAATGGCAGGATGTTTCGTTACACTGTAAGATAATCTAGTACAAGAAATTAGCAATTTCAGACAGATAACCGAAGCCGTGCTTGTTCAGTTCCAGTTTATCCAGGAACTTCGACGAATGCTCTCCTAAGCGGGTCGCTGACCATGGTGCTTCCGCTGCAGATCTGCGATCCTACCCTGTTGTGCGTTGCATGGAACGACGTGTCAAGTTTGAAGGAGACCTTCGGATCAGTACACCCTTGATGTTTCCTGAAGTCCCGACGAGACAGGGTTTCGTTGAGCTATACTATTCGTCCACACTGAGATGCCTCGAGTTCGGGCAGGCTCTATAAATCCAAATTTCCAGAGCATCTTTTTCTGGATCTTTACAAGTTGCTCGTTTTGGGCCCCTGAACCTTATCAGAGTCCTACAGGCTCTGATTGTCCTGCTTGACTGGTGCAGATGGTGAGATCGGGATGAGGTTGTCGGAGGGATTTGGGAGTAGCCGACCCAGAGCCGCCCCAAGGTGGTGGATGATGGCAGCTTTTGCACACAGCTTGCTCGCACGACTGGCTTTGAGTCCGCCTCTGAGGTCACAGACTGGCTTTTGTACTGAGGTTTTCCGGGAAGGGGCCGAGGATTTCGTGTTTGGGGCTGCTGGTGATAATGACCACCAAACATGATCATCATTATTTGAATCGAGATTCTGGTTCCGGGCCACTGGCTTGGCGATAGTAGCCTGGACGACGTCATGGCGTTGATCATGGCGAAGGGTCTAGATGATAGTCATAGTGGTAGTGATGACCTTTTGCACCGTGAAGAAAATGATGGTGGTGAAAATGATGACGATGATGACGACGCTAATGGTGACGACGCCAAATAGGATGGTGATGATGGGGTTTCTGTTCTGTTGAAATCCAAGCACTGGTAGATCAGGCAGAGTACTCGTACGGCTAGCTGTAGCCACAACGCCAGCTAGCAAGAAGATGAATACAGACCATCCTTTGGTAGCAGTCCTTTTCGCAGCATAACTCCAGGCAGTTCTTGATCACCCAAGACCCCTAACCAAGCAGAGTTGAGTCAGTTGTGTCCAAGGCGGCTTCCGACCGCACGAGCCCACGCTGCTGCACCGAAGTGCCGAATAGTCTCAGCTAATGCAACATTATCCTGACGGTCCAAGGTACTGAGGTTTAGGATAGTAGTTACGTAGGTTACGGTTTTGGGGAGTATATGATAATGAGGTACTTGGATTGGACCCTAGGGTTATAAGTTCAGCTCCACTGGGGCAAACAAGGCTTCGGCTGACAACAGACCCACAATCTGCTCAACTATCCCTTCTGCAAGTGCTTAGACGTGCCTCGGCAGTCAACCATAAATCCTGCATATCCCGTACTGGATTTCGGGGCTCGCATTCGTAGCAGGTCAGCGTAAACTCTTGGGCGTTGACCAGAAGTCGGTATTGCAGATCCGAAGTCGCCGAGGGGCTAAGTCTAACATCATTGGAAGTATGTCTGCTGGTATAGCTACTTACCAGAACCCCCACTCAGTAACAGTTGTATGAGGGCCTGAGAAAAAACTTGCAAGGGCCCAAATATTGCGGCATTTCGCTGCTTTCTCTGTGGTGAAGCGCAGTGAAACTCGAGACTCAGTCGGTACAAGACAACAGAAAAACCATAATATTTAAATAGCTTGAATGCACCGTATGACGTAGCCAGAGGCCATACAACACAACGTAGTAATTATGTAAAAATATATGATGAGCTAGATCATCTGTTATGATATGCCTCAGTAAACCTGCCGTCAAACACAGTACAGTACGTTATGATATACGAACAAATCGATTTCATTGTTACGAAACTTTGCCTGTTAAGAGGGATGCAGGTGACATAATACAGTATAGCATAGTAGTAGAATACAGAAATATAATACGGCCTCCTGTAATATCCATATACTAGAACACAGGGTAATCTTGAAATATAAACATATCATACTGAAGAGTTATGATTTATGATGCAATATAAAAGTATTGGTATGAATTAAGTAGATGTGGTTATACATTCAAGGATAAAGCAAAATTACATATCATAAACGAAGATAGTATGGCATATTGCGAAACATAGTAGGACATAGAGAACGAGATTTGATAAACCATAATATGCTACAATATGATATGGCAGGCCATAATATAACATGCTTTAACATGAGCAGTATACTAAAGTAACATGTATTATGATATAATCTACTAGAGTAGACCAGAAGAGAATAGAGACTCCATATGTTGGAAATAGAGCATTTTAGGATAGAACAGAAGAGGGCCTGATATGAAATGAAATCATACGCTATGCTATGATGTGACATGAAATACTGCTGCATAGTATGATTTGGTAGAATAGAACAGATAGAGTAGAACAGGATAGAACATTGTTTGACATGAAAGATAAACGACGCAACATGAAATGAGATTGTGCATTACGCCATAATATGTGGTGGTATGGTGCGATATAAGTACTCGAATGTGTGAGGTTCTAGAACATAATACAGTTTTGTCACATATGATGGAATAGAACTGAGTACAACAGCCTGCTGTAACTTAATATTCTGTATTGGAATAGATGTGCTTAGAAAGAATAGGCTGTAGCATAAGAGAATGTAGTAAGGCTTCGTAGTCGTAGCCCATGTATCAGTTTTAGTATATATATATATATACAATGGCTAGTTTCTTTACGTTTGGAGAGCATCAACTAGACAGCTGCGTCAGAGACCAAGCTTCTGAGTCTTGAGGAGAGTCCGACTGCGGTGTAGATTTTCACTTCAAATGAATAGTGTGTCCACATGTATCACGCCGGTTTATACGGATGGAGGATAAGTGGGAAAGTTTCTGGCGGTACACACACACACACACACACACTAATACCAATTTTTTGTGTATGCGTGTGTATACATTATGTATGCACATGCATGTGTGTGTTTGTGGGGGAGTCTACATGTGTACATTTACGATAATTATCGTCGTCATTGTCATGTTCCTCCTCGTCGTCGTCACTTTTGTCAGCCCATTTTGGAGCCTGCGCGTGTTCATGGCATGGAGTGCTGTGCTAAGTCCCAGGTCTGATGCCCCCCGAAACCCCACACACATCATTACGAGTCAGGCAGTCAGCCATGAGACCTATTGCTACAGTTCGACCCGAGCGTGAACGCCAGACATCGCCAAGACTTCTGCATGATAGTATTGCATGTGTACTAGCGAAGGAGGTGATGGCACCGGTCCGCCGACAAGCGGAGTGTGACCTCATTATAGGACCGCTTTCGGATTGAGGATTTTGACGCAGATTATGCTAATAGCTCGGCGCTACAGGACTTTGTGATGCATGTGTGGCCTGGGGCATTTTACAATTTGCGTGCCAAGGAGCCTGCATTGCAGCTTCAGCGTTCTCTTTGCTCGAGATGCTTTTTAGAACTGCTTCGCATGGTTTTCCTAGACACATTTCACCTGAGATCTGTACTTGCTCGAAAGAAAGGAGGGGACGCTGCAGCTGCGAAGATGAACCCTCTAAACAGGGTTCATGCTTCTCTTAGCTGTTTTAACAAGCAGCCCCCGGCAGAGGCACAAGCAATCCTAAGCAAAACGCAAGCAAATGTTTTTTGCATGCAGCTGTCCATAGGTGCCTTGCTGCTTTCAGAATTTCAGCGCATCCGTTCAGTAGACGTATCCGACACAAGGATCCCAAAGCGATCGTCACGGCATGGGCGCTATGCCCTAAGCAGTGAGTGTCTTTTGCATGCAGGTGTATGCCCTTAGACCTTCAGCAGGTTTCCGCAACACATGTTAAAGGGGCATGCCATGTCTGTGCCGCGCGACGTTCCTCTCTTCCGGCTGAGCCTGGAAGTCTTTTGCGCAAATACGGCCTCGTAGAACCAAGCATGACGTGAGACGAAGAAGAAGACGAAGCAATAGAAGTTCATCCCAATCACCTGATATCAGTGCCGTATCAGCTTGCTGGTAGGTGCTAGGAAATCGTAGCTGACGCTCGTCGCAAGACGTCGACGGCAAGGCGAATGCAAAAGACGAGGTGCTACAGGAGTTTTGAAGTAATTAATCAATATACGTTTAAGACGGGAGCAACAGTACCAACAGCAGCAGTAGAGTTTCCGGCGAGGGCGAGGGTGGGGAGGACACCCAGCCTTTAGGCTTGTGCGAGCCAGTGCAAGCAAGAGAGAAGAGGAGAGAGAGAGAGAGAGAGAGAACCATGTTTTGGGGGGACGGGGGGGAACGAGACAATCTCTCACCCCGAAGGGGCCTGTCAGACCTTGGATGATTGCGAACCGTGGGGGGGTTGGCCTCCGGGCCGGGGTGCTTGCACCCATACCCCTTCGCAAGCAAGCAAGCAAGAGAGAACCAGAGACTGGCTAGAAACAGCTACGTCGATGGACGAATCAAAGCAACAGTGGCAACGCAAACACCATGTTTACATATGACATATGAGCATGCCGGGAAGGGGCGAAGTCCCAGACCTTACCTTTTTTTTCACAAAAAGGTACCACCTGTGGACTCCTAGGTCAGCTATAGTCACAGCCGAAGTTTTTTTAGTAATGCACACGTAAAACAAAAAAGCCATCTGAGTCTACCTGTTTGTATTACTTATGCATGTACCTTTATACACTAAGCGCCAAAAGTAAAGCAGATAGAAGAGAAATAGACAAGGTCAGACCGCTAAAGCACAGAACCCTGGACCCCAAGCCTCTAAAAACGCTAATACTCCATATTGGGAACTCGTATTGTTAAATTTGTTTTTTAGGCTGTATTGCTTACGGCTCTGGTTGTGTCTTGTGGCGTGTGTGTTTACGCAAGTGGAGGTACAGGTCACTGCTTGAGCTCTGCATTCCAAGTACCCTGATTCCTTTTGGATCTTCTTATGTCCTCGCTAGATACGCCCAGCAGGACTCTGCTTTCTACTGCTCAGCGACGCATGAATGGGAGAAAAGGGCCGTCTAAAAAAAAACGCTAACACCGACATGTAAAGAGCGTAGACCACGTAAAGTCCTGCAAACCGTAAAGCCCCCCGAACAACCCTACAGTGACCCAAAAGGAACCTTTATAGGAAGCCTGTAAGAGTCACGAGAGCCCTTGCCTTAGCCGTGAAGAACAACTGCATGTTTAAGGACTTGTATTAAGAACTCATAATAAAGAACCCTCGAAATGCTTTCTAGGGTCCAAGTAAACCCCACTCAGCCCTAAACCCTATACAAAAAGAACACAAGCCAACGCATCGACTCAGCTCCGAGCCCTCCGCCTGAAAGACGCTCCGAGGTCGATCTCTCAGTGTTTTTTGAGGGTTTAGGGTTATTTTTGAGGGTGAAGGGCTTATGGGGGAAAGGGCATTAGGGTTGGTTGAGGCTGTCAGGTTTGGATGGTTTTGGGATAGAGGTTTATATGGTTCGCTTCAATGTTTTGGGTGGTAGCCGCTGCAAGCGCGCAGTGGGCGGACAAGAAAACAATGCCGGTTCTTATTTCATTGTGCTGAATGTGCAACCAAGCATCCTGGACGTGGATACGAACCTCCCTCACAGTGTGTTCGCACTGACACCCGGAACCAAAAAACCAGAGACCATATGGACCCTTCTTATAAACTCTTGTAACACGTCTGTTCTGCGAGGAGCCGCAGTGCTTCTCTGAGGAGCCAATCGCGTATCCCGTCCTGGGTGGCATCGTGAGCTCCCCTTTGAGGCTGCCTTTTGTAGAGCTTGACGGGTGTAGAGGTTTACAGGTCAGGGCACGTGGGCCGGGGTGCGACTACTTACTTGACTTTCGTCCTTCTGGGGGTCGCGTGATTTAGACTCGCGCTGACACACTGCCGGGCAGAGCTGCTCTTGAGGGTTTGCAAGTTTCTCACTCTGAAGTAGGGTTAGGATGCCCAGTGCTGTAGATTGGGGGAGGGGGGGGGGACAGGATTCTTGAAAGGCATGCTTGCATGGTATCGAAGTTTGGTGCGTCCGTGTGCAGGAGCAGCTGCCAGTAGTCGGCCCTCTCATGGCTCGAAGTTCGAAGTCGCATCACCATTTTCGAAGAACTAAGAGGGGAGTGAGCGCAAGCAAGAATCCGAAGACTCTACATCCACCTGCAGAGCTTCCGCAAGTCATAGTTGGCAACACACTCGTTTTCCGGCCTATGGGCCCTCGACCTCGTGCATTAGACCCACGGTTGTACTTGCTAAGGCAGCACTAGCTGGAGTATATATTATACGGATGGTAGGCGCCTTGTCCCCTCAAGAATGCAGAAGCACGTGCCTCAGCATCCTGTATAGCAGGCCGCTTCAGAGACTAAATGCAGTCAGTCCGTCGAGTTGCTTAGGTTTCCCGCATTTATGTGCAGTGCTGCTTGCATCGAGGCATCGATGTAAGGACATGAACCCTCAAAGCTTTTTACCAAGCCTGTATTGGTTTTTTTCGAAGTATTGAACCTCGCTGGCAGAGGTCGTACCCCCAGCCCCCAATGCAAAGTCGTTACAACCTTCCTTTTCGTTTAAATTTCCGCTTATTCACATGGGGTTAGGATTTTAAACAAATTCGAAAGCCCGAAACCCGTAACCCTACAATACCCTGTCATGAACTGTCCGAATAAGATTGAGAATCAGAGAACGAGACTTTGCAGTAGCCAATCTTTCATCTTCGCTCTGCTTGAACCCTTGTCGGAGCCATTTTAATGACCAACCATAGGTGACACCACCCAAGGCCCCAATCCCTGGCGGAGCGACGCCTTGCGCGAACAGCACGGCATGTCCAGGTCGGCCGGGGGCCGGGCATTTTGGTTTCGTACAAGAAGCGTTCAGCTTGTCGATGCTTGCCTGGTCCGGTGGGAGTACGGGGAGAATCGAGTTGACAATGGTTCAACATAGATGTCAGCACGAAGCTTGACGGCTGGATGTTGAAAGGTGTAACCCTGACTCAAGACTTGAAGCAAGTCGCCTGGGCCTGCACATGCGCACATTGCAGTTGCTTTAGTTAGGATGCAAAGAGGGTTGAAGGCTTTAGGATCTCATAGACTCCCTCAAGACTCCAAATCCAGGGTCCCTGCCACGGCTTAGACTTTCACGTGTTACCGTCACGAACTTTTCGGCCGATCACCCTCAACCTGCATGGGTCCTGTCGTGTCTGTGGTTGCAGAGTTGAACACGCAGTGTTGAACACGCAGTACGGAACCTGCAGTTTTTTCGGCAGGTAGATGAACTGCTACGTTTGCAAGTAATTAACTAATTTGTTTCAGCATGGTATCCTATTGATCTGTGCATTCGTAGAATCTTGTGTAGTTGATAGGCATCCGTGCTGTGTGTGATTTGTCCTCGTCCATTTTCATTTGCATCATGCCGCCCTTTTCATTTTGTACATATTGGAAGCATGTTTAATTGCTTCTACCATGACTTCAGGTGATACAGTGACACGGCATGTAGGGCACAAGGAGACGAAGTCGTGCAGCAGCCGTTTTGAACCCAAGTTACCGGTCCGCGTGTCACAACATTCCCTACAATGCTGAATGACATGCGCAAGACACCGAATCAGCACACAGGCTGCCAGCAGGGTACTCACGGTATTTCTCGAGTCGCAACACCGCAACATACTGTACACAACGCCTTCTTCTACTTCAGTTGATCTGACTAGTACGTGCTATCACCCGTCTTCTGGGCCTCATAACCCTGAGCAGTGTTTCAACCCGTGGTCGAATCCTTGGCCACTGGGTCCTGTGCCAGGCAGGATGTAGTAGACTATAGGGGCCTAATTAACTACCAATACTGTTTTGGGGGTTCCTTGTTATAATGAATGTATATCGGGCCCCAAAACCCTATTCAAATCACTAAGTCCCCATATTATAGTACCCTCATAGATCTCTTATAGTAACCCTTATAGACCCTTTGAAAGGACAGTTTAAAGGAACCCTATTCTAATTGTTAAGGCCCCTATAGTATAGCCCGCTTAGCCCGCGATCGCTGCTTACGGCACGCGCCTCCGATGGCAGACATGGATCCGATGGACCCTTGCGACACCGCCCACGTCTCCCAGGCATGCAGGTCTTTAAGAGCCACATATATATATATATGTATGTATACATAAAAGCGGTCTTGTACCCCCAATTTAATCCTTGTATACAAGTTTGTAGAATATTGCGGTGGTTGCTGCTGCTGCTGCTGCTGCTGCTACACTTTCGCTGCGGCGGTGCTTTAAGACTCTTGGATAGCTTTTCTTGCTCTTGCTATCTTCTGGATGCAGGCGGCTTCCGTGGCTTCGTCCATATCCCGTTTGCTGCTGCTGCTGCTTCAGCAGCTGCTGTTGCTGTTGTTGTTGATGATGTTGCTGCTGCAGCTGCTGCTGTGTGTCGTGATGGCGTTGGCGGAAGTCGTGACCACCACTGTTTTTTCCTGCTGCTTGTGCCAGCATTGTTGTCGAGGTCGCTGCTGCGCTGTTGTAGGTCCATTATTTCTGTGTGTAGAATGGTTACATGATTTCATTTAACCTATATAGCCTTATGTGGATGAGTTGTTCACCCTGTTCAAATGACTGATCTTGGATGTGTGTGTGTGTGTGCGTGTGTATGTGTGTGTGTCCTTGGCTGTCTAGATTCCTTTTGGCATGCTGCTGGTTCTTCTGCTACTTTTGGCTGTTGCTGCTGCCGCTTGACTTGAGGCCCGGGACTCCAAGTTTGTTGATCCACGTTGTGCTTCCTTTGCCGGCAGGCTTTCTTCAATGCCACGTACAACTTTCGGATGCTTGCCTTACCTTCCATTGGTGCCGATGTCAGGTGGGCCCGATGACAATGCTGCGGACTAGATGCCCAAAACCTCCTTGAGCGAAGCATAGCATAGTTTCAGTGCCAGACGACCTGAACTCCTGAGTTCCATCGAGCCGTGAGCGGATCAGTGCCAGGCCACTGAACGACAGTTGACATATTACTATTAGTATTAATATTACTATTAGTATTATTATTTGTATTAGTATTACTATTATTGAGTGCATCCGAGGAACATGGTGCGAGAGAGGCCTTCCCTGTTCAACCCTGATGCTCTTACAGCAATCAACGGCGCTATGGAATGCTACTCGGATTGGAGCCTCAGGTTACGTCTTCTTTTAGAGTTCTTGGTATACGGATTTTGAAAAAGCCGGCCGCCTGACTTTGCTTCGTAGCCAACATAGTCTCCACAGGCTTTCTTGCAGATCTTCAGTTGGCAAGGGAGAAACCCCGTTGAAGTTCGTGTCCAGACTGTGGAGCAACGAAAGACGGGTGTAGTCTGTCCTGAAAGATACTTGGCTTTACCATTCATCCCAGATCTAGAGCTCAGTGTCAGTGGCACCTTCGCGTTTGCTGTACTGTACATGTATCTTTCTGCCGTCCAAGAGACAGCCCGACTACGTGCTTCCACATCCTCTGCGAATATTTCAATAGCCATTGTTCCTCGAGCCGGGTGTAGACTGACACACTTACTCATCCAAACACGCAGGCGCACACACACACACACACACGTTTACCATTTATGTATGTAAAATTATGTACATACAAACACATATACATATACATATATATATATATATATGTATATATGTCTGTGTCTGTCTCTGTGTGTGTATGATATAATATTCCAGAAGCACCGAGCTAGACTCTGTCTCGGGTAATTCACTCGCCCCTTCTTGCCGCGCGTGTTTCTAGCCGTCCTGCTTTGACAAGCCTGTTCTGTTCCTGCTGCCATCGGTTGTTTCGTTTGAGGAATTACACACGATGGTGAGAGATCAGACTCCAGCTACAAAACTAACCGTTACAAGGTCTCAGTGCAACTTCAGCTAGGGAAAGGTAGAGCAGAAAAAGATGCTGACAAGAAGCTGCAGGGCGAAGAGAAACCAAGAGATGAAACGAAAACACACAGGAGGAACAATCGAAAACACAGCACAGGAGCAAGAAACAGTGTACAATAACCTAAGAGGGTTTTGCCCGCACGGCACAACAAACGTAATGCTTCTTGACGATCTTGGCATACCTTCATTGGGGAATCTAGAGCTAGTAGCATCAGATGCACCATGATACAGCCGGCATAAAGCATTTGGCGCATAAAAGTACTATTGTTTCTGCCAGAGCAGGTGAGCAGAATACAGTTACATGCCTCCAATCCTTTGCTAGTGCAGGTTGTCTTCCCATTTCGATCTCAACCAAGTTTGCGGAAGGACATGCACTGTCAAATCCGGCCTTCCAAAAACTTCACAGCTCAGGTTTCCCGCCAAAAATCGTTCCGGGTCGAGCCAACTCCTACTTGCGGCCGGTGTCCATGCAGCGCTGTCCTTCGACGAGGGAGTTTGGTTCAGAGTAAGTCAGTTTAGATCAGCCGCCAAAACTGTTAACATGTTTTGAAGCACAAGATTCCTCCCGAAACTTATGAAGCTTGTTGCGATGTTCAGGAGTTAGTGTAATACAACTCGAAGAGGCTGAAGCCTCTCCACTCCTTGGACTACGACTTCAGGTACAAACAAGACCGGCTCGCAGGACTTTGTGGCTGCCTTCTATCCGCACGCAACCTGTCTGATCACCGGGAGCTCCAGCCAACAACTCGACGACCCTTCAAGGTCTGTGCGGCCAAAGGGATCTTTGTCTGAACACACATGGTCGTTAAATCCTGACAGATGTAGACAGACCGCATTCTCGCACTGAGTCGAAGCACCCACGATTTGTACTAGTTTTTGTGAGGTTTGGCGGAAAATCAGTGCCCGGCGGCCAACGCGGCTGAAGAAGTGTCGTGTCTGACTTGGCCCTTAGCGCCTGCGGAAGGGACCGGTTCCCTCAGATCCGAAGTTCAAATGCTGAAGAAAGTATTCGTTCCGAAGCACCATGCTGCCACGTCCCGTGGCTCAGATTATTTGTACTCTCCCGTCCAAAGCCCCCTGTTTCAGCGACCTTATTTAAGGTGTCGGGAGCCTTACAGTGAGGATCCGAGTGTCTGAAGCACGCAAAACCCGTTTAGTCGTATGGCCTCTCTTTCATCACGCGGTTGGGATGCATACAATCCTGATGGCACGAACTTCACGTTTACGCTGTTTCGATTCACTTGAGCATCCCATGAATATCGTTCAAATTTGTCCTGGCCCAGCAATCGTCATGCTGTCGGAACCCATGTATTTCCACTCAGCACTAAGAACCTCCAAGAACCTCGCACGCCAGAATCCGGCATTTCCGAGAGTGAGCGCCGAACCCAAGAACTGCCCTGCACCTCACAGACACGCCTACACTCCATTTTCCCTCTCAGTCCCAGGTGCCGATACCTGGGTCAGATGATCACAGCCCTGTGGCTTGGCTTTCTTTTCATGAGGTCTCACTAATGGTACCAATATTGCTTAAAATTATTAGTGTTGGTTCTTGTATTGTTTATGTTGTTGATGGTTATGTGCCCCGGCATGGTGACCTGAGCATGCGAACGTTTGTTGAGTAAACTTGGCTGTAACATGCAAGCGTTGCTTAGACTGTGGCTGCGACTTGCATATTGCAAGATTCGTACTGCAGATATCTAAGGAATCTGAGTGTAAGGGAAGTGACAGCGTGGGGGCAGTAATTACCCAAGCTATGCCTCCTGTGGAGCACTCAGTCTCATGATGAGGAACTGCATTGGCCACGACTTCGAGTCGTCCTTGGCTTACATCAAGACGCACAGGTGGAAGGAAACCTACCAGGGATGCTGAGATGGCAAGGCAGTTTTCGGTTTTCGTGGAGGCTTTGTTGGGGAGGGTGGGGAGTTGTGCCAATTGGTGGCTTTGTAACTCCTGTGATTTGCATGTTCAAGGTCAACACGGCTTTGATGTCAGTGTTTGTTTCAAGACGAGCTCCCCCTTCTCTGATATGAAGCCAGACCCTAAACCCCAAACCCCGCTCTATTGCGAGAAGCCGGGCTCCAAAACATGGCATGAAGGATCACTTTCAAATCTATGTAGGGCGTCCTCTCGCACTGGAGCCAGGCATGGAGTCACAATGAAGTCCCCTAGCAAAGTGCAGCCAGGTTTTCTTCTACCAAGCAACCGATCGACACGCAGCAATGTGATTTTCGATGTTTGGGGCCTGCACAGAAGTCTTCGAAACCAGCTGGGGCACATCACCCGCTGGGAAGCGGTTTGTCCTTGCGTTAGCCGAGGACTCATCCATCTCATAGGCAGGCCCGTCCCACGTGCCTGGTCGAAAATTTCATGCAGGAAGCTACTCTTGAATTACTGATGTTCATGTGGGTAGTTGTCAAAGTCATGGTCCCTTTTTGGGTACCCTAAATATCAGGTGCCGTACTACATTAGGGACCCAAAAACGGAACCCTATTTTTGACAACCACCCATGTGGCTCTTCTTGCCTGCTGCCATGAACAGACTATAGTCTCCTTAGGAATTCTTTTTTGCTCATCTAAACCCAAGAGAATATGAAACATACTATGTTTCTTATGGTTCTAAGGGGGGTATAGCAGAAGAGTCACGATAGGAGCCTTCGAAGAGTCGGCCCCAAGGTTGGGTGGCCAATTGGCCCAACGAGTCATCTCTGGTCGTGCTGCTCCTCGGCTTAGGGTTTAGGGTTTATGACGTTGCAAGCCAGTTGCAAAAACGGTTTAGGGCCGTTTAGGGTTTAGGGTTCTTGTAGGGTATGGCTGTTGTTAAAGAGTCCGAAAAGACGTGTTAAGTTTGCTTTGCAAGGACCGCTACCAGCTTCAGAGATGCGTAGGTACGATTTTTTTGTCGGGTTGGGCGGGTTGTGTTCAAGGTCTCCGGCTCCGTGAAGCCTTTATTGCTCAAGACGATCGTGCCCAAAAGCCATCGGCCGCAACGGTGATGCACAATTTCCTGATCATGTTGGTAGAAGGTTCTTCTGCGAGTATGAACAGCACTTGAAAACCTTCATCAACCGAAATTTAAAATCAATGGTCAACTAAGTTGTTATAAGTATTACTATGGTTGTTATTATTCGTATGAAAATTGCTGTTATTGGTAGTACATGTTATAATTCGTGTTATTGTTGCTGCTATTCTTTTCTTGAGCCACCATGCCCAGGAGCTCTGGCAAGGGACGACTGCTGTTTCCAGCGCTTCAGGGCAAGCGAGCTGGAAAGGCGAGGCATGGCTGCAGAGAGGGTTTAGGGATTTAGGGTTTAGGGGTTCAGAGTGAGAGGCTTAGGGGTTTAGGGATGTTTAGGGTTTAGGGGCTTAGGGTGTAGGTTCCGGGTTTAGCGGTTATCTCTAGGGTTTGGGATAGGGTTTAGGGCTTATAGGGGTTTGGGGGTTGGGAAGGTATCCTGTGCTCAGGCCGCAGGCTGAATCAGCAAAAACCTTCTCATAGTTTGACGAAACATGTCTGGCTGGCCCACTCGAGCAAGGACTCTGGTGAGCTATGCTGGATCATCTGAGTGGCTGGCGTCGAACTCTGCTCCTTGTTCGAAGTTCCTGGATGCGACCTCGCACTAGCAGCAATGATTCAGCTTTGCAGGCCCACAGACCCGCACAACGCCCAATCGCGCCTGCAGACACGGAGACTACAACCTTGCCCGAGGTTGATCGTTCTCGGTATGAAATACTTGTATGGGAGAGAGACACAATGCTTTTGCGTGAATGAGACGAAAACATGCACTAACTAGACTAAACACAACCGTGACAGCCCAGTCTTTACATGTGCACCAATCTCGAGCAGCAGACAGTGTCTGAATCACAGGCAACCGCAGGACTGGGTAGTTCCAGATCAGAGTGTCCACACGCGCACACGCAAGTGCAGACACGCACATGCACATACGAACCCTGAAAAGACTTCTGCTGGTTCTGACCGTCCGCATGCAAGTCGTGCAGCGTCTTGCAGATATGCAGAACAGATACCTAGGACTCTTCGTTTCGAAAGTTACACAACGCTCACCAACTGTGCGATCCCAGGTGCGACGATGCCTAGCTTAGCAGGGGTATTGACACAGACGTATCTCACTCGTCACAGGCTTCTGTGACCTGCAGCTTTTGAATACACGGCCTCGAACGGCGTACCTTTGTTTCTTCAGGGAGGTGCCCGGATACTTGCACGGACAGTGTGCATGCGGCATGCTATATTATGAGACGTTGCATGATAATGGAACACGATTGCGACAGACAGCAGCACATCTACTTCTGTCGAGCTGGAACTTGACTGTCAGAAGCGGAAAGGCAACAGACGAGACTTAAACATTCCCCGATAGTTCAGGCCTTCCGCTTCACCGCCAGAATCGCTCGTGCTTCTCGACACGAAAAGGGCAGGAGCATGAAGGCTGCAGATTGTTAGCATTTGCAGTTGGCAGTAGTGGCAAACTTCTAGATGCAATGAGCAAGAGTCCCGAGCCCTTAGGGCTCCTTCTCATAAGTGTACTATATGGGAGCTTCCGAAAATTTGGACTCCCTTATGTTGGGGTCCGTATAACGAGGATCCTACTATTTGGGGTACTATAGTAGGATCCCCTATTTTCGGAAACTCCCATATCAGCCGTGAAGCGCCTCCTCGAGCGTGGGACAAACTGAGCCCCTGCTTCGCAGCCCAGGATCTGAATATTTCGGGCCGAAACCTGACATCGCATTGCGGTCAGTGCCTCAGCTCTCCGGTCCATTTGGGAGCTTCCAAAAATTAGGGGTACCTTATATTGGGGTCCTTATTGTAAGGATCCTACTAATTAGGGTACTATATTAGGGTCCCCAATTTGCGGAAGCTCGCATTTTGTGTCGGGGCCGGATCTTCGAGCCTAGAGGGGCGGAATTGAAAAGCGCTATATCGCATAGAGACTCGGTGCTCTCGCACAGCAGATCGTGGCGAGTCGGTCGTGACCTGTCTTGCGTTTGCAATACGGCTTCTAGGGTCGCGAGGGCAATTCCATAATTATGCCGTTTGTATGTGTACCTAGCTGGACTCGGCGCCCCTGTGATCCAAAGCTTTGATTGAACGCAATACACTCCAAAGCCTTCTGGCTGAACCTCAGCAGGTTGTATTCTACCACTACTGCTACTATTATCATTGCGACTACTACTACTACTACTACTACTGGGCTTTCTTGCCGGCCGAGTCCCGGCATGTGTAGTTTCACCTCTCAGTCCTCGATCGCCTGGCTGGTCCGTCCGAGTGTGAGCCCCGAAACCCGGTGCCTGAGCCAACGAGCCGAGTAATTAGTAGTCTTAGTATTAGTCTTAGTATTGGTATTAGTATTAGTATTAGTATTAGTATTATTTTTAGTATCAGTATTAGTATCGAGGCAAAGGCTTCCCCAAAACGGATGCTGCAAACGGCTTCCAGAGCTTCGGCAAGTTATTGTTTTTTGGGTTTAGGGTTCAGGGCTGACGGTTTGGAGTTTAGGGTGTAGGGTTTTTTGGGTTCGGGGCTTGCAATTTAGAGTTTAGGGTCAAGCGAGTGTGGGGCTTACCGGGCGGTGGTAAAGGCCCGATGCAAAAAGGGTTGAGGATGCAGATCGGCAAGTTATGTTAGATTGGGCTTTGGGTATTTGGTGGGCCTCGGGTTCTCCTGCATTCTCCCTGTTCCTGTCGGTCTAAGGGTCCTCCCTGCTTGATCAGACGTGGGAGTTTCCGAAAATTAGGGGGTGCCTCATTTTGGGGTCCTTATAATAATAAGGATCCTACTATAAGGGTACTACATTAGGGTCCCCTGTTTTCGGAAAATCCCACATGTCGGGATCTGTTTCCGGTTATCCGTAGGGCGGAATGGTGAACTCAGTCGTGAGACAAACGTGCCACTCAGCTTGCTCCAATTTCAGCGGTTGCACCGAAGGCCAGAAAGTTCTTTCTACGCTTCATCCAGATTCGCTCGAAACCCAAATCCGCGACGTAAGCCCCTTAATACGTTCTGCAATGTTCCACACATTGGCTGCCGAAGGTACTTCCGCTACCCTGACATTTGGAGGAATGCTGCTTGCTTGCATAAAGGCAGCTGCTTTGGGTCTGGAGACTTGGGGTTGTAGATTTAGCTCTGACCATGTTGCATGTTTCTTTTATCTCCTTAGATCGCACCCGGGTTTGCGGATTCCCCGAAACAAAGCACGGCCGCCAGCGTCCGTGCAGCAAAGACTGACTGTCATAAACAGATACCTGCAATGACCAAGACTTGTTCGTGACCACCGACCAGCATTGAATAGCATTATTTGTTCACGTCGTGCCGCGGCGGTATATTTCCTGCCCCTTGCGAAACAAGGATGTTACCATACAGTATCCGTGTCTCTTCGACACGAAGAAGCATTGGCCGCTCAGAAGCACAATGCAGTATGCTCACGATTTAGAGTCAGATATCCGCACATGCCCTGAAGCCTACTACAGGGGCCTTAAACACTTACCAATACGGGGGGCTCGTTATTATAATTTTAGTATTATAATGGGCGCCGAAACCCTATCCTAGCCATTAAGGCCCCGGTTTTACCAGCTCCATTGGCCCACAAAGGCGCGGGCCCCATAGCCGAACTTGGCTCGCCTCTTTCGTGGGGACGGAAACGCACTGCTCCAGGCTGGGGCTTCAGGTTTGAAGGTGGCTTCAATATATATATATATATATATATGTATATATATATACACATACATACATACACTTAATGGTTACATCATCATGATTTAAGTATGCTTCAAGCTCTTCAAGGTTGCGAAGCTCCCTGGGATGAAGAGGTGGTGTGTGTTCTGTCTATCTCAGTACTACAAGGTGTTTGTTCACCCTCTAGCTCGCTCGCGCTATCTCTCTCTCTCTCTCTCTCTTCGTGGGCGCAAGCCACGAAGCTGCTCTGGAGGTTTCGCATGTTGCCTCGACTTTAGCCGACAACAAGTTGGCTCTCAATCAGCTTGAAACCAAGCTCACCTGGATTCTTGGGAGTTTGAAAGGGAAACCCCGCGGCCAGTGCCTATCGACCAGAAACCCTAAATATCCCTAGTCAAACTGTAAACCCCAAGTCAAGGACAGCCCCGGCAACCCTTGTGGCAGGCGGGATCTGCTGGAGTACTGGATGCACAGGGAGGGCTCCGGGATCAAGGCTTGGCCGGTCAAGCTTCGCAAACGAGCTGAAACGTATGGTTTCAGAATAATAATCACGATGGTAACAAACAAACACGATAATGTTTTCACTTTCAGTTCTGTTGTATCATTGGTCAGGATGAAGGTGCAGAGGCTAGCGAACATCCGTAAGTCTCGCTCTTGTTTTGTAGGTGTTGGCATTGGTGTTCATTGGTGTTGCTGAAGTGGTAGCTGTAGATGTCGCCGTTTCCGAAAGGAACTGAAATTGAAAGGTTGCCGACGTGTCGACTGCTCCTGCTTCATTGCGACACGACAGGTGATGAACACACCTGGCGTGCCTGGAGTCTATACAAAAACCCTTCAGACGAGCCGGTTTTGCTTCTCGCCGGATGGCTCGGCAGTTCATGGCAGCAGGAATCACCTGCTCTCACTGGCCCTGTAGTGTTGCGCAAGAGGGCTCCCCAAAACAAGCATGCAGTGCAGACAGCTTGCACGCAATCCACGCAGATCTAGCGTATTCTAGCGTTGTTTTGTGGTGTTGACTGAGCAGTAGTTACAGGCTTGCGTGTTTGTTGACTCATGTTCCAGCTGTCTGTGAGCATCTAATTAAGCCAGATTGCCAGATCATCTGATGTTGGCACAAGCAACAATGACCACTTAAAGCTTCCTCGGCTGAGGCTTAGTCTTAGACGGACATTTTCCTTGGACGATTCGCTACCTCGATGCCCTTCAGCACGGAGCCGTGGTTTCATTCATAGCCGCTTCAACTAGACCCCGCAGACTTCACTATCCACGGAGTTTGCAGTAACTTCAGTGATCCGATAGCCCGGCGACTCGGCGAGCGGCTCTACGCCCCGCCGAGCAAATTTTCTCTGTAAGTCGTGAACCCTCAGCCCGAAACCCTGCAACCCGAGGTTGTGTGCCGGTGGTTTTGTCCGTTTCCTGGCACCCACCGCTCCACCGGCTGCTGGATTGGAAGAGCGCCATCGAAACTCACGCCAGAACTTACCGCGGGACTTCATGTGGTTCTGAAGGGTATGGTCTCCATGCTCGTAGTAATATGAAGGTGCACACAACGCGAATGTCAGTACTAGAAGTACCTGTCCACATGATATTGTAATCAGGAAGATGGAGGCGATGTGTTGGGGAGTGATCCTGACAATCACGAGAATGCAGATGCGGGGTGATGCAAACACCGATGATGCTGGGTGACAGTGGTCGGTGAAGGAGATGGTGATGGTGATTCTGCTCACGGTGGCGCGCGTGGTGGTGACCAGGATGCAGTTGCTGACGATGCTCAGGTTGCCGTTTTGAGATCATCGTCCAGCTTTTGCTCTTGCTGCATGTGTCAGGCGTGCGGTGGCCGTTGAGTATTGTCTCTAGTTGTTCCTGTTCGAAGTTCAGAGTGTTGATGTTCCAGGCCCTGCTTTTCTAATGTTTGAGATTGCCGACAATCGTCGTTTGTTTGCTCTCCTCGGTCTTCCCATCTTCTTCAGAGTCCAGCTGCTACTCCTGTCTGAATATGATGAATATGATGCGATCCCTGCTCCGGAATCTCCAGAGGGTGCAGTGGAGCACTCGGTAGGCCGTTTGGCTCAGCACCAGTATTCTGGAAGAGGTTGCTTCCGGAACGGACCTTGAGTCACTGCCTAGTCTTCTGTGTGCATCTGTGTACTTACTCGGATCCGGGCTTGAGTTTGGGAACAGAGGCAAATACTCAGATCTTCAATACCGTGGGCTCAACACTGGTTGTTTGCACCCTGGATCACCCTGGTATACCCTGGTCATCCCTTACAAGACGAATGTGAAGTAAGGATGGCCTTGGGTTCCCGACGGTCTTCGTGCATCCCAGTCTGATTCGATCGCTGGATGCACCTTGATAGTGTCTGGGAGGGGGAGGGTGGGGGAGGCAAAACCATCTGGAATCAGAGGGCTTGAATCGCATTTTGTGCTGGGCACAGCAGTTGGCCTCAAGGGGTGAATCCACGAAAGTCTGAGCGTGCACATGGCCTTGGCATCCTCGTGCAAGTATCGGTGCTCGATCCTTCTGACGCCTTCTGTAGCCCCGGCCAGCGGCCCTAAAGGTTTAGCTATTACGGAGTCTTCAGCTGCTGACTGATACTCTCTAGTGCTCAGGTAATCTTGGGCAGCATCGACGAGGACCTTTGGCTTCAAATGCAGGACTGCAACTACGCGGCCGATAGGTTTGGAGGTGTTTGCTTCTATACAAATACCCCTCGGAATCTGTTAAAACCTGATAAGTCTTAAGTACCGGTTGAGCGTCCTTGCAGAGGAAGCCACCATCTTTCTGGCGAGGGTCCTTGATGCCAGGTATCACGGCTGCAGCTACTTGGCCTTGGACGCCGAACTTCTTGATCCTCGGTTCTCATCTCTGTTGATTGCATATGATCGCACTGACTTGAGCTTTTGGCAGGGTCTGACAGGTTCTTTGTCAATTGCCTGGTAGAATTGCTCAGGTACTCCTGGAGTGCGCACGCCATCCTGGCTGAGATCTTCTTGTCCATGATCGCGAGAACTTCCTCTTCGAGCTCATAGCGATGGATTCCGATGTAACTGTGTGGCGCGCTGTGTGCAGCACTTTGCCGTTGCAGGGCTGTCGCTGGTGAACTTCGTCGACACCTTTCCGGGCCACATCAAGACCAGCGCGATTCTCAAAAAACAGAGTCCCGCGGGGCGTCGCACTCCTCGACTCTGCAACGGCTTGGGCATACGTGGGCTAGATCTGGTTTCTGATGATGACGAATCTTTGGCCGCGAGAACACGTTTTGGCTCGACGAGGTCTTCTGCAAGAGACACCAGCCGACACCAACATGATGTCACTTCTTCGCAGGTGCCGGCGGCCGATCCTGGTGCAGATGCAACAGTGAGGAAAACGAGTGCTTCTTGTGATGCACATCCTGAGCAGAGTCCTAGAAGGTAGAAGCCCTCAGCTCACAGCTTAGTTCCAGAAGCCTGCGATAGTGGAAACATTCGAAGCGACGTCCATCACATCTTGGGTGTGCGTGTGCGTCGACAAGCATAAACCCAATGGCACTTGGGATGACTGCTCACTGTGGATACTTATCCCGACACTGCACTTTTGAAGTTTAACATCGACTTTGTAATGCCACCGGCAAGTGGCACTGATACAAACATACCATTTTATCGTAAACCCATCCCTATATTTCCAGAAGAAACAGGCGCCACCGGTCGGGCCAGCAGCCGAAACTCCCGGCAGCGAAAAGGCAGTGGTTCTGGGGAAGAGTATCATGAGATATTAATATTTCATGTTATATTATGTTCCATTATATTTTGTCTCGAATCTCACATGTTCTTTATACTATGCACTGCATTGTGTTATATTACGTTGCACCATGTTGTAAGACACTGCGTTAGACTGTATTAATTACAATGTTGTATACTCAGCTACTAATAGTGTATTAAGGTATACATTTTCTGTTCTATTGTATTCTTTTCCTTCATAGCATGTGTTTGTACTTTATATTGCATGGCACGTCTACATGTAATTGTGGATGTGGGATGGTTGTATGCGTGCTGCCGCAGTGTATTACATCAACTCCTGGTAGTTTGATCCGGTCTTTGGCATTTCTGTTTGCGACCATCATCACAAGTGACATTGTCATCGTCATCATCATCATTCTCAGATACAGGTATCGTTGCTGGCTGTACCATGATAACTATGGTGCACTGCTCATGGGTCAACAACATAAAGGTGCCCCGTGGATTAGCATTCACGATGAGGAGGCTGCTGTAATTGTATGTAACGGTCAATGGTGGATTTGCCTAGCTAGGGCAGGCCTGTGTGGCCAGGGTGTTTGAGCCCCCTGCTTTTGGATTTCTACTGCTCCAAATCCTCCTGTCAATCGAAGGTGGAGTTCGTGAGGCTCGCCCTCGAGCGGAGCTTCATCCACGAAGCCTCTAAAACCGTAAACTCAACGGCACACATCAGGCTCATGCTACCAAGGTTTGGGAAGCATCGGCATTTCGAGCTGTTGCCTACTCCTAGCATGTCCTGAAGCCGCCGAGTCTCAAACGAAGCCGACCTTAGGCCGAAAACGAAATGGGATTTTCCGAAAATAGGGGTACCTTATTTTGGGGTCCTAATAATAAGGATCCTACTATTTAGGGTGCTATATCAGGGTCCCCCTCTTTTCTGAAACTCCCAAATCACTATGAGGCTTAGGAAGTCACTTTCTGATTTCAGTACTGGTAGTAGACTTAGACATGTCCAAGGCCAATGTAGAGACCTTAATACTTAGAATAGGGTTTGGGGTATATTCTGCTATGATTATGATAGGGAGATTCCACAACCCTTTTCTTGCATTAAGGCCTTTCCTTGTTTTCTGACAAGCCAGGGGCCGACCGCTGTGCCGTCTGCATCTCAGAAGCTCGTGGCCATGACCCCTTCATATAGGGACCTAAATTATTCTATTTTGGTGGATCCCTATTATAGTTATAGTATAAAAAACCCACCAAACCCTAGTAGAAACTATTAAGGCTCCTATAGTAGGTTCGAGTTGCTCCCTGACAGGTCATGCCTCCCTTTGGTTCAATGTAGAGAGCCATAGCGCGTACCTATGCATCCAGGCATTGCTAGTGGGACTTACCCCCGAGCTCATCCTCGGAACCCCTGAGGGCAAGGCAGTGTGTGTAGGCGCATTTCCGCCATTTGTGTATTTTAGCGTGCTTGTTGCTGTCGTTTTGCTAGGAGTTCAGCACCTATACTGTGGCCCGCCAAAGAAGGCCTAAATCATCTTCTTCGGTTGCAGCACAGAAGAGTGAGCAACGAGAGAAGCCATGTGGATGTTACGGATATACGGTGCAGTGTGTCCCGATTCCGCCCCGACGAACTTACCAATTACCAAGTCTTGTACGCTGCTGACATGCGCTTCTCCTTCCGAGGCACTTCCGTTCGGAGGCTTCGATATCAGACTTTGAGCCTCGTGGTCCTACCTTGGGAAGCATGATATAATGCACAACTTAATATAATCTTATGGTCATATTATGGCAACTACGTGTACATTGTAGTACAATGCTGTCACTGTACTCTACCCATCGTCTCCATCGTCGTTCTTCTTTGTTCGACCAAGTCTACATGTAGGAACTTCTGAGGTAACCCAAAACAGGCCCCACAATTGAGACTGTAGGTTGTAACCAGGTAGGAAAGTAAGACGGAGCTAATGGACCGGCCAGCGAGGTTGAAAGAGGGACGTGGCAGCTCAGGCTCGGTCGCGGCCACATATATACAGTAACCATTTCTGTAACAACTTCTTTACGATCATCACTATAGTTATTGTTACCACTTTGTGTATGCTATCAATTAACGATAGAACTACAAAGTAGTATCAGTAAGCGTAGTAGTACTTCTGATGACGGTAGGGGGCCAGCAATGACAGCTCGTGAAGTTCTGTCTGTGCCCGGACAAAGCTCTTCGACACGCCAAGCTGCCAAGGAAACCGCCCGAAGTTGAAAGGAAAAACCAGAGGCACCATCCTTGTATATCTTTGTTGTTCGAGATCTGAGGGGCCATAGCGGTCAAAGTCCAATGCTAGCTTCCGTCGTAGCAGAACGACCCCGCGATGTGCACTGACGGACTTCATCCCTTCATTTTTAAGAGTGTGTAGTGTATAAACCCCGAAGGGCGCTGCCCGCAACTCCTCCTGAGCCTTTATGGCATGGTGGGGAGCCCGATCCCGTTAGATCTCGATCCGGATCTTCTTAGAGGAGTCCCCTTCCACTCGTGCCTGGGTGGTAGCGGAGGGCATTGGTGCCAGCCGGACAGCGCTTGGAGACCGAAAACGAGCACGCGGAGGGTCAAGCGGTATGACGTCTTTTTCAGCCACGAGTGGAAGAGTGGCCGCTGGAGCAAGCATCTATCACTGCTTGTGACCTTCAATGGCTTGCCTGCTGCAGTAGCAGGTTTCCTATCAAGCCTGGCGATGGGTGTGTTTGCACTTCTGGGCATTCTGCCCAAGTCTCATCACTATTGGCTGCCTATCTGTGGCTACATGGTGTCATTCGCAGTGTTTTTCTTCTGGCAGCATGTCAGGCAACTCTTCGTTGGGCCCAAGATCGCATTCATCGACAGCGTTTGCATACCACAGGACGACGAGGTGCTGAAGGCACGATGCATCCAAGGACTGAGTACCTTCCTGGAAAGATCCGAGCAGCTGGTTGTTTTATGGTCACCGAAGTACTTCCGGCGAGTTTCTTGTAGCTGAGGGGGTACACTTTACCTTTTGGGGATAAGATCGCCCATTATAACACTGTGCACACTTCTTGGGGGCTTATGAACTCAGCATCTAAGGTTTGGTGCTCCTACGAACTAGGATTTTTCTTGCTGGAGAAGGGCCAAGCCAAAATGATTCAGTTCGTGCCTGTTCAGATTGGACACATTTGCGCCTGCTTGTTCATCTTTGTGATGCTCATCCAATTGACGGTGCATGCCGTATTGCTGATAGGCTTTGATGGTCCTTCGCAAGTGGATCCACTGCTGGTGACTGGCATCGTCGCCTCTGCGTTGGTGTTACAAGCAATCGTAATAATCCCGGTTCTGCAATGCACTTTGACTGCGATGCTGAAGGATCTGTCGCAGCTGCCCAGACAGGTGACCGAGTTTCGGGTGCAGGACTCTGAATGCACGTGCTGCGCATTGCAGCATCGCCACCCTGTGACGCATGCACCCATTGCTTGTGACCGAAAGCTCATCTACAAATCTCTCCGCGGTACCTTCGGATCATCCGCCGGGCAGATGGATGAGGAAGCAGCTCTCGATGCATTCAACGCCTACGTGCGTGAGACGCTCGCTCGTTCCATCGACCGAAATTTCAGGCAACATAGCATGATTTTGAGGAATGCGCTGGTAACCTGTGCCATTGCCATAGGCCCTTGGGAATCTATCCGTTGGGCCACTGCTGCTGAGTTTGCCGGAGAACAACAACTGCAATGGCTTGGTGGATTCCTATATGGTGACGTCGGGATTTTTTGTTTGATGCGGATCTGGTTGCTGATCGGCTATTTCGGCGTATTTCGGATGGAGCACTACCCACGACCAGTCACCGTCTTGAGTCAGCTGGCAATGTTTGCCTTCTCTGTTGCCCTGATACTTATACCATGGCCCTTGACCCTTGCTTTTTCTAGGTCTGGGCCATACCCTTGGCTTTGGACCAGTGTTGTGGCTGCCATGGTCTGCTTCGGCGCCCGCTTTCTGTGGCCGGCTTTCAGGCCCCGATCAGGCACAACTGTCTTGCAGCCCGATCTGCCAAGCACAACCTACGGAAGTGAGACAAGGCCAGGGCATGGGTTCATTTGTGAGGAAGATGAAGACTCAACCTTCGAGATTTAGAATCCCGAACCCAGACCCATGGGAGGATATGAAACGTAGATCCCTCAATTAAGTGGTTTCATGTAAACTACCTTTCGTGAGATGCTAGTTAATTGGTGTTCCTACTTTCGAGATGCTCCCAAGGGCACTGGACGTTTTCACCACGGCAGTTAACAATTTTTAATGTGTTTGTTGCGTGTACTGTCGTGAAATCACTCTTGTCGCTGATAGTCTCAGAGACAGCCAAGCTGCTTCTCTCGTCGCTTTAGTGTCGATCGACATCTGTTTCGGTTCTCGTTGGAAATCAGGTATGGATGCTGGTTTCGCCCGTTCTCGGAGGAATGCTTCGAGCGCGACAATTCTCCGCAGGAGACAAGAGCCAAGTGCCGAGACCGCCCGGTTTGCCCAGGTGTGAGAGTCGAAAACCAAGCTCGACGTCCAGCGCAGCCATGCCCATAACATTTTTGCTTCGCAGACTGAGTCAGTCAGTTCAAACTTGCTCAAGTAAGCACATCTGACCGCTGTGCTGCACCCTGGGTTGAAAGCTCTTGAGTCGAACCACGCAGGGCGTCCCGACTATGGAGTGTCCGAATGCAAGCGCGGAAACCCAAACTCTCGAGTTTCGTGCCCGGGTCTTGCGAGACTTTTGAAAATGGCAAAGCGGAGACAAAATAGTAAATCCCAGGCCCCGATGTTTAGACGTGCAGTGCTTGGGCTTGCGATGCGGCAGCCATAATTTCAAATCCTTGACCGCAAGCAACCAATCCCAATGAACCTTTAAAAGTGTGAGATCGCCGAAACCTGTCACCTTAGACAAACAATCCTGACATGCTAAAGCAGATGAAAGACGTTGGATTCCTTTCTGCACTCGGTAGGCTCCGCGCGGAAGCCTGCGGAGGAGGTTCGGCTTGTGGGGTTTGAGAGGGATTCGAGGGATGGTGTTGGAAGGCAGGTTTTGATTAGGAGGAGTCGGAGGAGGATGAGGTGAAGGGACGGATGGTTTTGATGATGCTACTACAAAGTGTCGTGTAAATGAAGAGAGATGCGATCATGATTATCATGGCGGTGATCATGGTGGTTACTAGGTTGTGTTGATGGCCTTGGTGACATCTGGTCATGGCGATGCTAGTGATAATTGTGACGGCACATATCATGCTGAGACTGTTGCCGATGCTGGTGATCATGGTGATAGTGGCCGTGACGAAGAAGGATCTAGCATTGTGAGGAAGCGGATGAGGATAAGATTGATCATATTGGCCACGTTTATGAGGACGGAGACTACGACACCGAGCATGGTGCCTGTAACAATGCCAGTGAAGATTGTGATGTTGTTATCATCATGGTGGTGCTGCAGTTTGTGGCACTTGTGGTGGTGCTGCTGCTCCAACTACTGCTGCAGGTGAACATGTTGGTGACGCTCATGGCTGCTGCTGATGGTGATGATGCTGATGTCTCTGGCTGCTCAATACAACGATGGTCGGATTCATAGAGGTTATTGGGTGATATTCGTGGTAGTAGTGTCACCAGTAACTATCCGAATCCTGGTCAATCGAACAAGCATCCAGACGTCGGCAGTAGGCAGTAATCTAGGGGCCTAGCTACTTATAGTATAATGGGCCCCAAAACCCTGGTCTACTTATTAAGGCCCCTACTATAGATCCCCTACAGACCTCCTTTAAAAGCATGCCTCAAACGAGCCCTAGTCTGCCCTTAAAGGAACCCCCATGAAACCCTATTCTCATTTTGGGGGGCCCCCATAAAATCCCACTGCCACACGCTCTTTAAGCGAGGAGGAGCCCGGCGAGCCAGCGGTGATCGCTATGCTCGAAAATCCAGCCGAGGATGCCTTGCCGGGAGTCCCGAGAATACTATAGGGGCCCTCAAAATTACCTATATATATATATATATATATATATACATACTATTTTGGGTGTTCCTTATTACAAGTGTAGAATACTTGGGGTTGCTTAGTATAAGTGTAGTATAAACGGCCCCTATACTAGTGTTTTCAGGCCCAGTTTGTGGCGGAGTTGCGGCTTTCGGTCTGTATTTTTGTGAGTGTTGGCGGTGAAAGACAACACGATGTTATGTGAAAGGGATGCTGAAGCAGAAATGAGTCTCTGCCTCAGACCCACAGCCCAAACTTTCAGGCAACCTCACCCTCAGAGTCTCCAGCCCAACCCACCCTAAACCCTAAACCTTGCAAAAAGGCACTCCAAAAAAAAACTCAAGTCGGGCCTCGTCCTTGCTCGGTAGGAGGGAAAAATCCTCAAGTCAAGGCCCCGGGCAGCGGTCGTGGAGATCTTCGCGCGGCACGACCTCAAAGCTCCTTGAGTCGCGCTGATCTTCGGAAGCCCTTGCCAAGTATTGCCGCATACGGAAAAGCACTTATACCAGGAAGACGACTTGCAACAATCACACAAAGGAGTCACCGGAACACTCAACATGACAAGAATGTCCAGCAAGAGTAAGACGTATGACGCTTGAATTATATGCTCTGGCATTTTTGAACTGCGTCAACCACCAGTATGAGCCATTGGAATGAAAGGTGTTGTGGGTTTGCATGGGGCTTGCGAGGCCTGGCTATCCCTTTCTCGCCGTGTTTTTGTGTTCAGCCCGTCCCTCCCTCTTTTCCTTCGCGCAACATAGAGGGCCGAAATAATTGCCATACTATTTTAGGGGTTCCTTATTAGTATAATTATAGTATAATTGGCCCCTAAACCCTATTCTAATAATTATTAAGGCCGCTATATTGTGCGGTTTATCTGTCTCTGTCTCTGTCTCTCTCTGGCTCGAGTTCTCGCTCTCTCTGGCTTTCTCTCTCTCGTTCTCGAGATTCTTTGGAAGGCTTTAGTCTATTATGGTCCCTTTTTGGGGTACCCTAAATATTAGGTGCCGTATTATAATAGGGACCCAAAAAGGGACCCTAATTTTGACAACCACCCATTGCCCTGCCATCTCTGCAGGTCGTATGGGCCAACGAGGATCATGCCTGGCACGACTGCGAGAACGCTACGGTTCTTGTTACGGTGAAGAGGCCATCGAACTACGGGAGTGGCAGTCGAATCTAATGTATTGTATCTGAGATACTGTAAGTTTTATTCTATCTTTTTTCGTGACTCCAAACCCCGTCCATAGGCACTGAATGCGAGATGAACCGTCAACACACGCGTGTTCATCCTGTCCAAGGCACTCGAGCCCCTCGGGCAACGGTCCGAATAGTTCAGTTGTAGGTTTTGGGGTGGTGTTTTCCAGAGCCAGAATTTGGCAGCGTTTTGTGTCGGCACCAGATGCTTCCAGTACGACTATGTCATACTATGTCTGTGTGTGGCAGCCATGTTATTCTATTCTGACTGGAAGTAGTGTTGTTACTGTTCACAGTCATAGGTTTCGATCTGTGCTATTTCTGTATGCATGCTACCCTAAGCCCTAAAAACAACACCAAACAGTGTGAGGCGTGTGGACGAGTCGATGCTTGCCACTTTACCGAAGCTGAGACTGGTGGCCGTAGCTTTCACAGGCCTGAAAGCTCTTTCGGATTTAGGGCGCATGGTTCAGGACAGCTCAGGCTTTTGAGTCTCGAGACTGTCGGGGCTTGGGGTTACAAGAGGATTCAGAGATCTTCGCGCAATTCGGGGGGGGCAAATTTCCGGCCGGAAGAAGAGCACAGAAGCCTTTCTGCCAGATGCCCGGTGGTCTCCTTTGCAGGCTATGACCATGTGGATCTGGAGGCATGCAGGCAGCGAGGTGCATGGAGCTTGGCCATCTCGTTCCAGAGCTTTTGGGTAGAAGTAGCTTGAGTTCGCAGCATAGGCCCATGTTGAATGCTTCAGATCATTCGCTGTCGTTGCCAAGCTGCAGCTTTGATCGACGCGTCTAGTTTCAAGGTGAATGTGGCCAACGTACCAGGCTACTCCACAGATGGCGCAGCTTGGCTTCAAGTCGGAGCATAAGCCCCAGACGCCGTAATGGGCCTGCCATGTTTTGGGATGGGATTTGGATTGTTTGACCTCTGAGGCGGGGCGGACTTGCTGGTTGACCTTTCAGGTATATGCAGTCACGCGTACGCCCACCCTGGCTCTGGATGTCTGTACAGTACCGGCACTCAAGTGTAAGTGTGAAAGCAACACATACGGGGCCGACATTAGACGGTTTTGGCGCTGTCTCCCATGGACAATCATCTAGAACAGTATTTCTTACCTTTCCTGGGCTTTCGCTGACGTCAGAGCGATGTTCACAGCAGCTTCCGGGCATGGTCAGCTCCCGGTGAAGGAAGGCGAGAACTCGAACCGTGGTTTTGGAGATTAAGAGATGGTCAGACCCATACTAGTCATGATTGGTGTGAATTTTCTCGGCGAGCCGGAGAGCGCATGCCAGCGCTTAGTCTTGCTACATTCCGTTATGTCACAATTGTTGACGTCAGAGTTGTTATTGTCGTTTTTACCAGAGATGCTTGCACCTGCCATAACCATCACCACCAACATCGGCAGCATGATCATTCTTATCGGGTTCATTGTTGTCATCATCATTAGCATTTCCATTGCCGCTGTCATTCGATCTTGTTGTTGATATGAGTCGTATGTGGTATGGCTTTCCTGTCACACTTGTCGGTGGCATTTTCGAGCACTTCCCCCGAGGCTGCTGAGCTCTGCTTTGGCCTGATTTTTGCATTGCTGCGCCACATTCCAATGGCACACCAGCACCTGGGACCGCAGGAATGCCGAAGTTCTGAACCGTGCCTGGTTCAATGGCTCGCTGCAAAAAGCCCTCAAATTGCGACCAAGTCTGGTAGCCAGGAATTCCTTCGTCGCAGCTGTAGGACCCCGTGATATCCACCTCACCTGCTACCATCACCGCTACTAACAATCACCACCACAAGCATCGTCATCAGGACTAGTCACGAACATCATTGTCGTTTAGCACCATCTCAGCCAAAGCTTGCGGCACCGCCACCGTGGCAAAAAGCATGTCACCAGGAGCAAAAACAATCAACGCAGCACTGGTGATGAGCTTGACGCAGTTGACCCAGGCATGTGCGCTCGGGGAAGTGGTCCTGGCCGCCGGGAAACGAGCTCAGCGGACGACGGCTCGGGTTCAGTCCTGAGTCATTTCAGGGTTTGGGCTGTGGGCTAAGTGAGCTCCTCCAGGCGGGGGGGCAACAGCTGCAACAGATTTCATAAGGCCGTAAAATGTCAATTCCCCGGCAGCAAGAACCTCAGTTGACAACGACGACGGTTTAGCCCTGGTCAACATTCCTGCCCTAGAAAGCCCGGGATTTGGGCTGTGGTGTATAGGCCGAGTGTTCTTGAAGGGACAGCAGCGGCTCAGGCGTGCGTCGAGCCGGAATCCACTCATTTCACCGTGTACTGAAAGCAACACAGCATGCTGCCCAAAGAGCTTTCTGAGTCCATGTAAACCGTTGGCACGATCGAAGCGCAGACTGAGGATTGTTGGAACGGGCGAGATTGGCCTGCGAGTTGCCGAGATCGGCAAGGCTGCCTTCTAAGATTTACAACTGTTTCAGGTCTTGCTGGGCTATGCTTTTGGGTGCTGCAGAGAGACCCATAGTCCATGACTTGTGAAACGAAGCTTCCGGGAAAGGATGGTGCAGTTGTTCTCAACATTGGTCTCGCCGCCGCGCAGCAGGCTTTTCGCGTGTCCAATGTCATTGGTTATGCTGGCCCCTGAGCTTGCGGACCGTAACAAGCCGCCATTCCTTATCTGAGTGCAGGAACCATGCAAGACCCGAAGGTGTCAGAGCTTAAGATTGGGAGCTGAGGACCCCATCAGGAACGACAAGTTCTCCGCAATAGGCGCCTGTGGCGGTGAGTTCTTGTCGCATCGTGTGCGCCTTCTAGATCTTCACTGTCCCTTTGCTTTGCTGAACCGCATCGGTTGACGTGCCCGGCGACGCGTGTTGTATAGAGAGGCAGCCTGCCGCACGACACTGACTGTACTACTGGCTAGTTTCTCCCACATGCCTGCATATTTGCAATTCAATAGCAGTAACTTGAAACAATTAGCGCGGAAGGCGGGGAATACGTTCAGTCCCTGGCGACGATCTTCCTCCACTCTGCCTTTGCCCCAAATATGCGTTCAAAATACGAAGTTAAAGGCTTGCAGGGCTTCTAGGGTTCAGTGTGCAGGGGTCTGCTTTTGTATGAAGAGCTGGCCGATACTGTAGCAGATCCGAGAGTCGGAAAGCACGGCTCCCACCTACTTGCATGGGACTTCGCGGGCACCTGCAGTTCTTTGCCTGTGAGTGCGGGAGCCTGATATGGTAAGGATCTGTAAAAGCCCCCGGTTTTAACTTTGAGTTGGCAACACTGTTGCTAATGGCAGTTTTGTGCTGCCGACATGTCACCACTACTGGTCTCCTGGCGTAGTCCCAGTTGTGAAGACTGAAAGACGAGGATATCATCGTGATCGCCTGTGCGCTCACGGCGGCCTCCAAGGGGATGGTCAATCGAAGGTGGGCTTTGTTTGTACACCTGGCAGTGTACAAGAAGGTTAATGCACAAACCGAGGTGAAAGAGAGATAGAGAGAGAGAGAGAGAGAGAGAGAGAGAGAGAGAGAGAGAGAGAGAGAAAGAGAGAAAGAGAGAGAAAGAGAGAGAGGGCTGCCAGAGTGCCCGGAGATGTCGGTTTGAAAGCTGAGCGTTTTGCGATTCACGGTCAGGCTTTCCAGGTAGTTTAGGATGGGTGGGCTTCAGAGGGCTTGTCACAAAGTCATAAAGCCGACATGCATAGGGGAGCCCCCCGCCCGGAGGGGCTCCTGGGGGGGGGGATGAGTTGTTCACTGCATGAAGGATGCTGAAGCTCTTGCGCCCCGATTCCATCTTGATCAACTGCGCCAGAGGCGCCTCACGACTTTCTCTCTTGCCTTGCTTGCCTTCAAGGAACCAGCCTAGCCAGTTCTGAATTTCGGAAGATTCGTTGTCCCAGGTTCTTGCATGTCGTCACGAGCATTGAGACACTTGTCTACACAACTCCCAACCTGCATCTACGTGCGATGGCGGCTCGTGCTAGCAGCGCCTCGTGCAGTAATTCGGAGCCCATGCTTGCCCGGTCTTGCGTTTCTGATTCAAGGAGGTATACAACACGGCCTATGAGAATGAATGTATATCTATGTATATACTTATGTATGTATGTATGTATGTATACATGTATTTGCTGATGCATGTCTCCGTATGGTGATCCCGTTTCGGGGTTCAAACCTCCGCCGCTCAGTCATCTTTCGCGTGGCTGTGCGTAAAGGCGCCATCATTGACCAGAAGGCGTTGACGGAAATGCTGAAGGAGCAGGGGTATGCAAGGGCTGCAGTGCTTCCTGAAGACAGCCTCAACAAATGCTCAACCATGGAGCCTTTCATCTTTGGTGGGTGGGGGGGGGGCGGGCTGGACTCACAGGCATTGTAAGAATCAGCAAGATCCGAAGGCTTGAGTGTGTTTGCCGACGTGTTCCTCTTTCTGCCTTGTCGGTCAGCCATCTTGCCACGTGGGCCTTGCACCCGAAAGCCTCAACTCTTTCTCATGAAGCCGTGCCTGCCTGCGTGCGAGTGTGCGAGTCGAAACCCTCAAGCCTCAAGCCCTATAACCCCCACCGAGAGACGTCGTCCGGCTTATCCGAGTGCGAGAGCGTAACCCGATGCGGGCTCGTCGCTGCGATGTAGGAGGCATCAAGAACCCTTGATGCAGGAAGGCCGCTTCAGAGCTGGTCTCGACGTCTACGAGGCTCCGCGACGGGGAACTCCAGAAAATCGGCAACATGTCCCAGCATTGCTTATGACTTTGCATGGTGGCGGTGGTGGTGGTGTTGCAGTATACATACTACTAGCTGCTTTCAGGTGTGTTTGGGATGCACCGTCATTGGGCCTTCCTCGGCTTCCCGTCCACCCTGATGTCTCCTAACCTCGGACTCCTATCATAATGCACATATTTCCCCGAGCGGGTATCCCCAAAGCAGTTGAGCTTGATCTCAGGGCCTGGAGGGGGAAGAGCTACCGCCGAACCACCCTCTGCGTTCCGTGCCCGAGAGCGATCGCCCCAAGTCGGGGTTTTCCGAACTCAGGGAGTGTCCGTAGAGCTTTGGAAGGCGACACTCTGCCATCAGGGGAACCCCTGTTCAGCAAATGTTTTTGGGCTTAGAGGCTTATCCAACCCGGCTTAGCACCAGCCACCCATCGTGTCAAGACGTCCAACTCACGAAGATAGATAATACTGATGCTAGATCACGGAAGTATGTATACACATGCTGGTTGACTGACTGTCTTGCCGGACGCAGCTGCTTCAAGCGCTCTCAAGACCTGCCAAGTCGCAGACTGGCCCCAGCTTAAACACAAACAGGCCGGACCAACAGTCACAGCCGGCTGTCACGTTGCCAGAAATCCTCGGTACATTTCAGTCCAGTAAGACACTTTTTCAGGAATCTCAGAAGTCATGTCGAAGCAACAGAAGGGCCAGAAGGGGTCCAGCGTGTGAAACTTGCAGCCTGCAACTTCCGGCATCCAGCCGCCATATGCCAGAAAAGAATCGTCGCAATGTCCAGCATAGGACTTGACGAAGTCTTGTGACAAGCGCGATTTGTAAAGCCAACGTAGCACAGCTAAGGCTTTCAGGAAAACATGTTCAGTTCCTCCTGGGTAGGTTGCCGCTTAGCTATGGCCATGGCCTTCGCAGCCGGATGTCAGCCGCTGGTGTGAGAGCTCAGGGTTGACATGGCTGCCTGATTGCACTGAGATTTGTACGGCCACGCGTACGGCATGATTTTTTGTGTTGTGTTTGTCCATTAGCATGTTTGTTATCTTTCTCGTTTCGGTATCACACATTTGCTGGCAGTCTCGCTGAATCTTGTGGACACTGGAATTCCTGTCATGGTGGCTTGGGAACGATTCTGTCACAAGATCGGGACGGGACCAACCCTTGCAGCTTAATGGCCACTACACCAGCAATGGCACAACCACCGTTCGATTATCATCAACAGCATCAATAGCCCCAATATTGGCACGAACAGTCGCACCATGCACATGCTAACGATTTTTACTTGACGGTGCCAAGCTTTGCCAAATGTCCGAGGCGATGGATGTAGAGGCGCCTTTTCGGGTTGACTTGCTTCGTTGCGCTTATCTTGAACACTGGGGAAGCTGGATAGGATCGGCGGTTTGAAGGCCACCCTGTTACATGATGTGAGTCTGTGGGGCGAGATGTGTGGCGGTTGTTTGGTGTCAGGTCAGCAGCGAAGCTGCTTATGAAGTAGTGCAGGAAGCCCTGGCTCCTGTACCTTGTCCGGCTAATATCCTTCCTGAAGTCTCTTTCTTTCTGCTTTCCGGCGTTTGTGGCTGGTCTGTCTGCCTTCTGGCCCCCCAAGCCGTGTCCCGATATAAACAATCATGCATCTATGCATGTAAACCATGCACACACATGCGCATGTACGTTGCATGCGTGTCGCGGCTGAATATTTCCTAATAGCCCCCCATGTACTATAGGACCTAGAGTAGGCCCTTATTCCCTTTTTTGGTTCAGGTTCCCTTATAAGCGCCTTTAAACCAAAAAGGGTACCCTTCTGTTCCCAGGCTACTCTTGGGTCTGGTTTAGGTTGTCAAGAGTGGCCGACGAGCAGGCCCTCTGGGAGGTGTTGCGGCGGTGCGCTGAGACACATGGCAACACCTCCGCTATGGAGGCAATTCTGGCTCATGCACCCGTCTGCCTTGTTGGAATCTGTTCAGAACACTTGTTCGTGGTCAATAGTATTGATACCGCTGATTCTTGCTGCTGTTGGTACTTCCGCTGCTACACCCCCTGGATGACCCTGCTTCCTACCTTGACTGTCAGCGGAGACGAGGATGTGCACCGTAAAGCTTGAATCCCGAATCACTTCGCTGAGGACGATCTGGAAGATGCTGTTCGTTGTATGAGGTCCAGACACTCAACTAGCAATGGTAAGGCGATAAGACTATGCGACTATGCTGGCACCAGTCCGAATGACTAGTCATCGTGAGAACATCCTGAAGATATATCGTGGTACCCTAGCAAACTTCTAGTTACTTTACTTCTGCGGGCAGGGACTCGCATTCACCACGATGCTTTGCGAGCCCATCTGTAGGTGGTGCAGGTGTGGCAGGAGGACTACCAAAGCGCCAGTGGCAGTGCACCTCGGCAGACTGTCAATGGGCTATCTCGTAGCAGTGCGACTTAGATGACAGCTCACTCGAATTGTATTTCCGAAGTGAACGAGGACAAGAGACGACTGCCCCATGCGACCCTAACTTCAGCTTCCTTTTGGTAGAGCAAGGGTAGCCAAACGGAGGAAATCATCAGCTGCCAGTGACAAAGTCTATCAGCCCTGACTCCTAATTTACATGTATACTTGCCAGAACTAGAGATGCGATACAAAACCTATGCAAATGAGCGAGATGACGACTGAAGAGAGCTCGTTCTGCTGGTGGGAACTGCATACATCGCTCCTGCATCCCGTTAATAGCCTGAGATCACCAAAGGACTGCACCGTTTCGGCCAGGAGGACTTTCTCGGCGCTGCAGTTTTCACCCTCGCAGCGGCGTCGCTGCAGGGAAAGACACTCCTGGAGCGTGAGGCACGAGTCACTGGTGTGAGCAGAACGGCTGAGGGATTAGAGTTTACGTAGAGTTGGGTTTGGTGTTTTGAGATGTGTGATGCGCTTGAAAGCTTCATTTTCTAATCTGGCGCTTGCCGGCAGGACAGCATTATTGGTGTGGAGCCGCTTGGATCTTAAGATGCCCCGCCCGGACGAGGAGGGTTTCCTCAGGTTCGAATCGCTGATGTCTTGGCCACATGCAAATGTTGGAGTTTCCGAAAATGCGGGGTACTGTACCTTATTCTGGGGTCCTTATATATTAAGGATCTTACTAATATTAAGGGTGCAATATTAGGGTCCCCTATTTTCGGAAGCCCCCACATAGGAGAGGGCAGGGTTGCTGGTTGCTCCAACAAAGGATGTGCATGGGCCTGGCCGCCCAACACTTGGACGAGGCAGGTCAGCGGCGCCTGCAGCAGACTGTCCTCGAACGAACGCTCAGGCAGGAAGGGCCCTGGTTCGGGTTGTGCTGCGGTAGCCGTTTAGGGTTTATAGGGTTCAGGGTTGCAGGCAGTGCACCATACCGGGACACACCTGCTAGAGGCAAAGCTTCGACGTCCAAAGCACGTCGAATCAACAGATCCGACATGCCTCCCAGAGCCTTCGGCTGACCACCGCTCCAAACCGATCTTCAACGCTAAAGTAGCAGCCACAATAAATGGACCCTGAGGATAATTACACGATGGTGTTTGCAAACACCCTATTGTAATTCCTCAGGCCCCCCCATATTGGAATGTTTGTTTGGGCCGCCAGACGCTTGGATCAGACCGGCGAGGAGATGGCTGCCAAGGCCGTCTCGCCCAGGAATCCCTGAAAGATGAGTATATGGGGCTTCCGGTCACAACGAGTCTATGTTATTCCGAAGATGCGTGCATGAATGGTCATGCCATATTTGCATTCACACACAAACACAAACACACACACACACACACACACACACACACACACACACACACACACACACACACACACACACACACACACACACACACACACACACGCACAGACACACACACACACACACACACACAGAGACTGATGTTCTTGTGCTGGGCGGCTTCAAACTGCTAAACCGTAAAACAACCTTGTATTAATGACTTTCTCAATGACCTGCTATAGTGACCTCATAATGACTTTGCAGTACAGAATAACAAAAGCAACCCTGTCATCACTATATGTGTGTAATTACATATGTAAGTGTGTGTGTATATATATATATATATACACACACATACACCTGTGTGTGTATGTATGTATCTTAAACCTACCCTTGATGCACGCTACCTCCAACGCTACCTTATAGCAACTTTGTATGATAACCTGATTCCCTGACATGACCATCTCCTACCTCTATAGAATAACCTTGACCCTGCAGAGAAGCCTTCTAGTAACCAAAAACATCACTATCCCTATCTAGTTAACTTTTAGGAACCTTCTCTGATAACCTTATGTGCCGGCTCTGTACAGTAGCCCAGTAGCGTCTATACTGAACCTGTAGAGTCGCTCGCCCTAAAGCATAGCCTTATGGTGTTATACCTAGAAGAAGCCTATCGGAATGACCTTATAGTTGGGGTTTTTCGAACCCTATCAGAACGACCTTATAGCTGGGTTTTTCGAATCCTATCAGAATGAGCTTACAGTGTAAACCTTATAGAATGATCCTACTGTTGATGATATAAATCTGCATTACCCATAATCAGGAATGTGCCATAATTCCCATAGTTTGGGGTCATTAAGGTAATGCAGGATTTATATCATGAACCGTAGTTCCATTGATGTTGGGAGCCAGGCCTCCTCGGAGCTGTTGCAGCGGGGGCTCCTGACGACTCCTAAGGACCGACTGTGCCGGTGTAATGTTTATATAGGGGGATTCTAGGACCGAGCTTTAGGGCTTCTAGTGTTTAGCATTTTGGGGCCTGTGGGCAAGCTAGTGACAGAAACAGGGAGAGAGTGGGAGAGAGTGGGAGGGAAAGGTAGAGCGGGGGGCTCGCAACTGGGAAAGATGGGGCCAACCTTGCGGTCTGAGTGCACACCGCAAAGATCGGCCGCTCCAGAACACAGGCCGGGCAGGCGCCAGGCTGGAGGGTGAAAGACTGAAATTTTCACGGAAGGAAGGGAGAGCTGTAGAATGTCAAGGCCGGTGGCCTCAGAGAATGTGTAGCAGGCTTGCGTACTGGCAGGTTTTAACTACAGCCTGAAAGCAGGCGGACCCGACAGGAAAGACTGTGCCAACTTGCATGTCACCCAGACACCAACCCTCATTGTCGAGGTTGCAAGTGTTGCTTGTATTGCCCTGGCTTTACCAGGCCTGTATCCACACATACTTCCAGTCTCACTCACCCTGACAGCACCAAGCGGGCGGGCCGGATGCATCGGAGAGTGAAGTCCGGCACCAGAAGAGAGCAAGAAACGAAAAAGCAGAGACGGACTTGCCAGATATCTCCCATGCAAGTTAGTGACAGATCTAACGTGTCTCCCAGCGGATTGGTTCAGTCTCCCTGTGGCCCCAAAACGCCCTATGCCCTGCGAAGGATAACGCACAGACAGAGACATAATGTGGGGAGTGTGGGTTGCAACAATCATACGGGTAATATTATCTTGAAGAAAATCCCAACATGTACTCGAATACACCCTAAAGCCCGATAGTGTAACCGAGCCAAGGAGGAAGCAAGATGGTGAAACTAGAAAGGACGCTATCAGGCCCAGGTGCAGATTAGCATCACAGCCACTCCCACTACGACGTGCATCTGCGTTGCTAAACCCCACAAAATGCCTAGTTAGCGCGAACCTCTGAGATGGACCATCGTAGTCGAAGCCTTCTAAACCCTAAAATTACTGAACTCGTAACCGCCAATCATGGCCGGGTCAAGGAGTGTACGCAGCCCCTGCGGTCACTGTTGGCACTGCTGATCAGGTGTCGCCTTCAGTTTAGCTCGAGCGTGCTTTGTATACTCTTGCATCCCCAACTCTTTGGTTTGCTAGTTCTCTCGCCGTGTTCCCGCATTCATAGGTTCACGCATTTGTAGATGCATCCGCGCACGTGGTCAACCACATGCTCGCGTACGAGCCCACATGCTGCTAAACGTCCAGCACATGTAGATACAGATGCAGTTGGAAATAGACCTAGGACCTACGTGCCTACCTGCCTGTCCACCTGCCCACCCCCCCGCCTGCCCACCCACCCACCCACCCACGTAGCTTACCTACCAACTACCTCCAAGGCATGCGCACTTGTTCTGTTGGCACAGAGACAAACACACAAGTAGAGAGAGAGAGAGAGAGATTTATATTATATTATATTATACTATACTATATTATATTATATTATATCATATAATATTATATAATATAATATTATATTATATTATGTTATGTTATGTTATGTTATGTTATGTTATGTTATGTTATGTTTTATTATATTATATTATATTATATTATATTATATTATACTATATTATATTAATATAATATAATATAATATAATATTATATTATATTATATCATATTATCTTATCTTATATTATATTATATTATATTCTATTATATTTTATATACAACAATGTATGTATACTCATGTATACGCATGGGCATGCACACATACACAGCCACACTCATGTGGGAAACCAACATCAATACTTATAGGCAAGCATTCAAATGCAAACACACAGACATATACCTGGACATACGTTACACGCAGACAGACAGGCAGACAGAACGACGGGCAGACCCACTGACAAACCTATACATGCATACATGCACACATGCATGCATGACCATCTCTACGCATATGTATACGCATACACCTACACTCATCGACACCTGTATTATATAAACACACGCACACGTACCTATACATGCATACATCTGTACGTATACATTGCATACAGTCTGCACGATTGCATGCATGCGTGCATTTCTAGATGTATTTACGTATGTACGTAGGTAGGCAATTATGATAGGTAGGTATGGGATAGGTAAGTCGGCAGGTGGGCAGGTGGGGCGGCCGGTCGGTCAGTAGGTAGGAGGGAAGGTAGGTGTTTGTGAATGTTTGCATGAACGTATGAACGTGTATGCATGCAACAGTAGTCTCGTTGGCAGGCAGGCAGTCAGGAATGTTCGAAGCGCCACGTATGACTCGACTGTATCTGTGGTGCAACATGACCTGTGGATTCCTGGCACGATGCTTTGCGGATAAGTCCTCGCTTGAAGCTCCCATCTGACACATAACCCTAGGGATCTAAGAACTCATATATTAAGGCTTTTGGGCCCAAAGACCATACTATATAAGGCGTTTGGGTTATTTTGATCCCTAGGGTAGTAATATCGTGAGTTTTGCCTTCGCTCCTGCCAGGTGCGTCGGCCAGGAGACTCCGAGTGAGTTGTGTCTTCCGGGCATGTAGGGGGAGTTCACGACAGACGACAGGCTTCGCAGCTTACGCGTTAATTATGCTTTCGTAGCTGTATGTGGCTTTCTTCGGAACATGTGTAGCAAGCCAATGGGGTCTGAGGCTGGAGTCTTATGCGGCAGCTTTGTGTGCCCCCATTTCCCTACGGGCCTCCCCACAATCTACCCTGCAGGACAAAATTACAGCACAAGAGCTGTTAGATCTTTGCGGCGCAGACGTTGCCTTAGCCGTTGCGGTGATCGCGGAGGCATTTTGGTGAGATCCGGTGGCCCGAACCCGACATCCAAGACCTGCAATATCGGATCAGTTCTCGGGTGTAAGTGGGCCCTTCAACCTTTGCGACCATTGGGCTTCAGGGTTTAGTCATCGTGGGGTTCAGGGTTTTTTGGGTTTAGGGATTGTCGCAAGAGGCCTGGATGCAAAAAGGGTTTAGGGATTCAGGGCACCGTGGGGCCTGGGGGTTTTGGTGAAAACCCGGTACTTCGACAACATCGCTGCGAGGCCTTGATTGCTCCCCGACCGCCCGGGCTGTCGCTGTGGCCGTTGCAGCTATGCTCGCTGCTACAGCCGCTTGCTCGGACTCCCTTCGCTTCAAAACCATGGCTGTCGCTGAGTGCTCTTACTGGCTTCGGGGCTTAAGGGGCCGTGCTCTTTCGCGATCCGTTTTGTCGGTGGAGCTGATTCCCCGAAGCCGCCGCCTAGAACGACAGTTTGGTAGGTATAGTGCTGGCTGCCCTTCCTTGCAGCCCACGAGCTCCTCAGACCTCAAGCAAGCACCTCATCATCCAAATCATCCATACCCAAAGAAGGAGATCAGGGGTTGTTCGTCGAAACGTGTCTACACTTCGGGTATGCTTGGCATCATGTCGCCCCAGGCAACTTACAAGCCCTGATGTTTTCGCTTGGCTGATGCAACGCGCCGAGCCGACATTGGACTTCAACGAGGCGGTTTGCAGCAGCCGAGCTTTGAATGAGAGTTTGGACCAGAAATCGCTCGGGGCCCATAGTAGGCCAACAACTCTAAGCCTCGAACGGGGATTTGGGGTGTTCGAAGTTACAAGCTCAGCTTCCGACCTACCTAGTGCCTAAGATCTTCGTCAAGGATCCCGGCCGCACTCTTTGGTGATCCCAGCCTGAACCATAGAAAAGCAACACGGTTTGTTTGGGTAAGATCCCATCTGTAAATACGAGGTCCTTGGCAGTGC